GGGGGACCCCCCATTGACCCAAAATTTTGATTTTCCCGTAAAAACTTTCCTATGGGGAAAAAGTGAAATTTTCATGCAGGACTGTGTCTGGGTAAACGAGAGCTTTCGATTGATACCCATTTTTACCATAGCACCACTTTTTTGGCCGTACAAGGGCGAATTTACGGATATTTTACGAGTTTAGGGGGCTTTACGGGCCTTAAACGTCAATGCAACGGGGACCGTTTTGGGGAAAGTTTCTCGGCTGGTGGTGGGACGCCTGTGTGCCGATTTTGAACGAAATCGGGGGGGGTCCCCCCATTGACCCAAAATTTTGATTTTCCCGTAAAAACTTTCCTATGGGGAAAACGTGAAATTTTCCTGCAGGACTGTGTCTGGGTAAACGAGAGCTTTCGATTGATACCCATTTTTACCATAGCACCACTTTTTTGGCCGTACAAGGGCGAATTTACGGATATTTTACGAGTCTAGGGGGCTTTACGGGCCTTAAACGTGAATGCAACGGGGACCGTTTTGGGGAAAGTTTCTCGGCTGGTGCTGGGGGCACCTGTGTGCCGATTTTGAACGAAATCGGGGGGGACCCCCCATTGACCCAAAATTTTGGTTTTCCCTTAAAAACTTTCCTATGGGGAAAAAATGAAATTTTCCTGCAGGACTGTGTCTGGGTAAACGAGAGCTTTCGATTGATACCCATTTTTACCATAGCACCACTTTTTTGGCCGTACAAGGGCGAATTTACGGATATTTTACGAGTCTAGGGGGCTTTACGGGCCTTAAACGTCAATGCAACAGGGACCGTTTTGGGGAAAGTTTCTCGGCTGGTGGTGGGGCACCTGTGTGCCGATTTTGAACGAAATGGGGGGGACCCCCCATTGACCCAAAATTTTGATTTTCCCGTAAAAACTTTCCTATGGGAAAAAAGTGAAATTTTCCTGCAGGACTGTGTCTGGGTAAACGAGAGCTCTCGATTGATACCCATTTTTATCCTAGCGCCCCGTTTTTGGCCGTACAAGGGCGAATTTACGGATTTTTTACGAGTTTACGGGGCTTTACGGGCCTTAAACGTCAATGCAACGGGGACCGTTTTGGGGAAAGTTTCTCGGCTGGTGGTGGGGCACCTGTGTGCCGATTTTGAAAGAAATCGGGGGGACCCCCCATTGACCCAAAATTTTGATTTTCCCGTAAAAACTTTCCTATGGGGAAAAAGTGAAATTTTCATGCAGGACTGTGTCTGGGTAAACGAGAGCTTTCGATTGGTGTGGTTTTTACCCGTTTGTGACGTCATTTCTAGGGAAAAACGGGTCATAAAGGTTTCCCTCTACCGGGGCCTTTTTTTTCCCCTACCGAATCTGTGCTGTGCTGAATCTGTGCTGAATCTGTGCCAACTTCCGTTACATTGCTGGAAACCCGATTGTTTGCTCGGCGGATTGGTAGGCTGCACCGCAGTACACTAAGGCCCGGCGGCACAGTGCAGTCTCCAGGCAGTGGTAGGTTCTTGTGTCGCAATGCAGTCACCAAAGCCCGACGGCACAGTGTAACTTCCAGGCAGTGGTGTGTTTCTGTTCTGCGATGCAGTTACCATGGACTGCCCAGCGGCACAACGTAGCTTCCAGGCAGGAATTGACTGCCCAGGGATTCCAGGCGCAATGCGGTTTACGTGGCCTATGTCAATGTCCGTTGTTCTTTTGCCGGGTAAAATTCATTTAATGTCAATTATCTCTAGGCTGTATCCAGGCCCGGTGGGATTGCGTCTCGGCCCGCCACCCGGTAAGCCACTCGAGCTGTGTCTCAGGCGGCCCAGAGAGTCACCCAGTCTGTGTCTCGACCCGGCAGAGAGTCACCTCTGGACTGTGTCTCGACCCGGCAGAGAGTTACCCGGACTGTGTCTCGACCCGGCAGAGAGTTACCCGGACTGTGTCTCGACCCGGCAGAGTCACCCGGACTGTGTCTGGACCCGGCAGAGAGTCACCCTGACTGTGTCTGGACCCGGCAGAGAGTCACCCAGTCTGTGTCTCGACCCGGCAGAGAGTCACCCGGACTGTGTCTCGACCCGGCAGAGAGTCACCCGGACTGTGTCTCGACCCGGCAGAGAGTCACCCGGACTGTGTCTCGACCCGGCAGAGAGTCACCCGGACTGTGTCTCGACCCGGCAGAGAATCGCCCGGTCTGTGTCTCGACCCGGCAGAGAGTCACCCGGTCTGTGTCTCGACCCGGCACAGTCACCCGGACTGTGTCTGGACCCGGCACAGTCACCCGGACTGTGTCCCGACCCGGCAGAGAGTCACCCGGACTGTGTCTCGACCCGGCAGAGAGTCACCCAGTCTGTGTCTCGACCCGGCAGAGAGTCACCCGGACTGTGTCTCGACCCGGCAGAGAGTCACCCAGTCTGTGTCTCGGGCGGCCCAGAGAGTCACCCGGTCTGTGTCTCGACCCGGCAGAGAGTCACCTCTGGACTGTGTCTCGACCCGGCAGAGAGTCACCCGGTCTGTGTCTCGACCCGGCAGAGAGTCACCCGGACTGTGTCTCGACCCGGCAGAGAATCACCCGGTATGTGTCTCGACCCGGCAGAGAGTCACCCAGTCTGTGTCCCGACCCGGCAAGACACCTGGGCTGTGTCTCGAACCTGGGCTGTCTCGACCCGGCAGAGAGTCACCTGGACTGTGTCTCGACCCGGCAGAGAGTCACCCGGTCTGTGTCTCGACCCGGCAAGACACCTGGGCTCTGTCTCGGCCTGCCGCCTTCCTGCACGGCGCACAGCCGCCATGTCCACCGTTAATGAGCGACGTACCGCGCCGTGCGTCGCGTCACGCCACCTGACCTCGTAAATAGAGCGGCAGCGCCTCCTGCGCGCGAATCTACCGCTCCTCCCCGTAACGCGGCGCTGTTCGCACTCACGGCGGCCGAGGTCGGCGATTATCTCCGCCATGTGACTCCGGCAGCGCGGCCCGCTGAGACGGTGCGGCGGCGGCTCCAGGGCACTGGGTCGCGCCTCTCAGACCCTAGGTGGGCGGGCTGACACCGGTGTACGACGCAGTCACGTGACCCGGCGGCGTGACGGCCTCTCAGCACCGACAGGGTGGTAAGCGCGTCACGTGGTTTATCGGTGTGCCAGAGGAGGTGCTGACATCACAAATGACACATTGCATATTGAGAGGCACGAGGCGTCAATATATTTACATACAAATGGTGCTGCGTGCCACTCATCTGAACAGCGCGTGCTTCGTTATCCCAGATTATGAGTGATAACGGTCTGTAGTTCCATTGTGTTAGTGTGTCAGCCGCTTAATCTGAGGAGATAAAACCACCCATCCGTTGAATGACAAGCAGCAGTTTTGCGAACGATGCTAAATGACAAATTGTGTCAATACGTAAAGAACCTAAACATGTGGGTTCTGCATGAGCCAGGCATGACCCAAGACGGGTGAGGAGCCCTCGCTGTCACCTTCCTGCAGATGATTTTCTTCCCAGCCCTCCTCCCATCCTCCAGTACTCGCGTCCCTTGCAGCTGCCGATCCCGGTCGTGGACCCTCCTCCCTGGATGAGCTGGGTGGGACCGTTCCTGCGCGGTGCTGCGGAACCGTCCTCCTTGGCCGCCCCATTGCGTCACCGTGGCGTCACGCGCATGGACCGCCCGCGCACAGCCGGGCGGAACGAGCGCCGCTCAGTCACGGCTCAGAGGCGCACATCCGCGACGCACGCGACGATGGCACCGCCGTGCGGTTAGGCAACGAGTGTATAATCGGTCGTGGGGGACCGCTCATGCTCGGAGCTATAGTTAGCGGATCAGTAATGCTCCTCGCTCGCTGACTTGGCTGCCTCGTTGTGTAATATTATGTAACAATGGAGGACTTTTGGAGTTATGAAGAAGTTCATGCGATGAACGGCAAGCCCACACGCAAGGCTGAGGCAACACTTTGGTGCACTGTGTTTGCATTTTTAGCGCCCATGTTTATGAGCGTGAGGGATAGGATAGCCTTCCTGACTGAATTCACTTCTGTGATTCACGTGATCAACTATGGCCATTTGGTAAGAAGGATGCGTATGAAGTACCAGAGATAACAGTAGTACTACTGTTATTTGTGGAAGTACATATGTGTCTCTATGTTTGTTACAAGTCATATCTAACCTAGCTTCCTTGAACTGAGAACCATATGACCGCGTCACTCGAAACATGATAATGAAAAGAGCAGCCCTAACAAAATTGCACCCAATTTGCATGAGCATCCATTGCAGAGATCCCGCCTTTTCCGCTTTCTCGGCTCGTTAACCGCGCTCATTGCAAAGGTGCATCATCTCGGTCAGGGTGCGTGTCGGCGTCCCTTTGTCCGGTGGCCGTGAGTTGAGACAGCCCCGGTCACGAGCTGAGACAGCCCGCCCATCCGGCGTGGCTCCGCTCCGCCGCGCGGGGGGTCGCCGGCGAGTAGCGGAGGTCAGAAGCAGAGGATGACCGGTGCAGCAGCGACCTGCAGCCGGTCGTTACCCACGCGGACACGGTGGGCGGGCAAGAAAAGAACACGGTGGCGGCCGGAACAGGGAGGAGAGACTGAACCGCCCACAGTGCCGACAGCCGACGGACACGCCGTGTCGATGCCCGGCCGTCAGACTGCGTGCGTCGAGCTGTGTGATTTAGGAGCTGGACGTGACTGGACGCCTAGTTTCGATGACTTTAGGTTCATGGATAAAACAAGCCTGCGCAGGCGTTGAAGATTAATTTACATGACGTTGTAGGAGACACCGGAATAGCCAAGGGAAAATTATGCTTTCATCGTATAATCAAAAACTGCTCTTTGGAGCTACCTCAAGTCCTCACAATCACCCAACACAGGTAATCAAATCCTGCTCGACACAACGAACAGCGACCGATGCCTCCTGACTTATGTTTTTTATATTTGTCCACCGAGTGTCAGCTCCTACGCAATGCCGTTCTCTTGCAATAGGTACCGATTCCCCATCTGCAGGTTCGATTCCGCTGACGGTTCCCTGTTTTCCCGTGCCGGCAGGGTTTCGTGAACGTGCGGCTGTGGTTTCCGCAGCTGCCCGGCGTGGTGATGATGTCCGACCAGGAGGTCATCATCATGTGCAAGCCCACCCAGGCGACCGTGGTCGAGGAGCGCGTGGCAGCCTTCGCCGGGAGAGTGTGAGTGTGCAGCTGAGTGTCCACGAGACAGCGAGGGTTGCTGTCCGAGCGTGAAAATACAGACGACTTCCATGATCTTACGTGACTCTTGGTCTCTGTGGGCAGTGTTGAGCCTGGTAAAGGGTTCATCTCAGGACTTTACCCTTTATAGATCGTCCGCGCCAGTATCATTTTTAGGGCTGTAATGTGACTTCGCTTGAACCTTCCCTGCTGTAGCCTCAGACCCTCCGGCGTCCAGCTGTAACCATCCCTGGAGTGGCCCTCAGACCCTCTCAGCAGTCAGCTGTAACCCTTCCTGCTGTACCCCTCAGCCCCTCCGGCGGCCGTGTGTCCGGCGTCGTGGAGGAGTCGCCCGGCCGGCTGGAGTACGAGGTCGGCCTGTTCCGGGAGAACAGCCTCAACAGCGGCAAGTTCAGCGTGCCCGTCGACGAGCCGGTGCCGATCGGGACGCGGCTGCAGCTGCTCACCAGGATCAGCACCGACGCCGGTAGGTGATCGGGGTGGACGGGTGGCGGCGCGGGGTGGGATTTAGGGAAAATCAGGCAAGCAGCAATCGAATTATTCGTGAATCGTGGATGCCGACTTTTCGGAGAAGACTTAGATCTTCAAGGAGCAATAGACATTAGACACTCAAATGCAGGACGTAGTTTAGAGAGGACAATAAAGTTACGTGATGATAACTAGGTGCGATGAAAATGTTCCAGAAGAGTAGCGTTTAGCCCCGTATCACCTCTTCCACTACCAGTAGGCGGTAACCATTATTCTGGTTCTGTGTGACAGCGTGGAAGTACGCCGAGCTGCTGGAAGTTACCGTCTCTGGCAGTCAGACCGACCCGTACGCACCGGGATTCGTTCAGCTCGTCCAGGACAGGTGAGAATAGGGCGCTTCTGCTCAGACCCAAATATGTACAATGAGCCAGGAACAATCAGACGAGCAGGGAATGTCCATGATTTTGACAAATGTCAGACGATCGAAGTGCCTCGACACGATGCAGTTCAATATCCTTCATTATGCTCAAGCTTGTCAGTACTCAGTAGCTTGTTCTGGACAAAGCCTGAAACCAGGCTTATGAGTAAGACTGCTTCTTCCCAATGTTCTACCTGAAGACGTGGACCCTGACGGTGCCGATCCTCCCCCGACCCGACTGTTTCAGCTGCCGTAACCCGGAGCTGACGTCGATCGTGCTCACCCAGCCGTACCAGACGGCCGAGCGGCCGCACGAGGTGCGGCTGACCCTGGAGGCCTTCCTGCTGGGTCAGGCGGACGGCCAGCAGGACGCCACCCAGCTGTGGCTGCACACCAAGGTGCTCGCCTGCGCCCGCAAGGACGACTGCAAACCGGTACGTGGTCCCAACGGACGGCTCTGGTTCGGTGGCTGACCAAGGATGGTCGCTAGGGGCCCCTGGTCCTCCGAGGCCGAGGGGACTAGGAGAGACGAATGGCGGATCACTGATAAGACATCCAACGTCTAGTGATGTGCGCTCCCAGGGTGACCACTGACATCCCCGCTCTCCCGTAGGCGTTCTGCCTGGACCTGTTCCAGCCATCGGGCCACGGTCGCCGCCGCCGCCGCTCGGCCAGAGCGCCCGTCACCGACACGCCGACCACAGCGCGCAGTCTGTCCTCCAATCTCACTAGCTTTGGAGATAACATCGGCATCAAAGTGGTCATGCCCGAAGGTGAGCTATAACGTCCGCACCCAAAGCCCACGAACGTGACAAATCTCTATGCGTCAGCCTTGTGTCCTTGGGTGAAGAAGTCTAAGAGGAAGAACCGATTTAGTTTATTGTATCCAAGCGCCGTTTTGCAGTGGTCCCTCTTGCATTCGTAGCAGCCGACTGAATGATGAGCTATGTCACGCTCTGGTGGTCTTGTGCTTCAACATTCGTCTTACATGCCGTGACGGCGCAATTTGTGTCTTCCTCCACATAACGAGCCTCCGTACTCCGGCAGATTTTTACGTGGCCGCCTCGCGGATGCAGAGCTCGTGCTCGTCGTTCGCCGTGCTGATCTCTCTGATGGGCTGCTTCCTGGCCATCTCGTGCGGTCTGCTCTGCTTCCTCGCCGTGCGGTTGCAGCGCTCGCTGGCCGCGCAGAAACGAGAGTCGCTGGACGACGTCATCTTCCGGCACATGCGTCAGCTGGAGAGGGAGCGGGAGCGCGTGCGGAAACTGCACCACGAGAACCTCAGCAACCCCGAGTACGCCACCGACACGAGCACAATCTCGGCCGGCTCCGTGGCCGAGTTCTGAGCGGAGTCCTCCCGGAGCGAGGCAGTGGAGTGCGATAGAAGCGAGGAGAATTGCGGAGTTCTGAGCGGAGGGCTACACTCCGAGCGAGACGGTGGAGTGCGATGGTAGGAGGGGAGGTATGGTGTAGAACCGAGCGACGATAAGAATAGCTCGTGAAGTCGGAGTAGCGGGGTGATACCAGACGGTTACAATGTGGAGAGGTGGCGTCTAGTGTATGTAGCGCATGCAGATTGTAGAACAGTGTTCGTAGAAGTGGTTGAACGTGCAGTGAATAACAGAGGAGACGATCTCTACAGTAACGCACAGTTTAGTCCGAAGTTATCAGAAGCGTTACAAGAAACGGAGGTCGACGTCAAGTTTTAACTTCCTTATTTCCCTTGATTAGAGATGAACTAAGCAGTTGACCACGAGTAGCAAGGAGTGAGCTGCGTCACAGTCACATTTCATCAATGGATATATCCGATACCTAACTGGACTTGCGTTCCGCGGTGACGTGTTCCTACAGTGGTACCGTCGTGTTGCCTGTCCGCCGTCAAGCACGCGGTTCAAGGGATGTTCCGGAATAGGCCAGTGCGTGCCGGTCCGCTGCCGCGCTCCGCCCGCCCGTGACGCCCGGCGCCGGCCCGTGACGGCCTGTGACGGTATGTGACGGTACGTGACGAGCGGGCCGTGCCGGGGTGACCGACCCGGACACTTTTGCCGGCCATCAACCCAGCAATGTCTGCAGTTGCAGTTCAGTACCGACATGACAGGGAGCCCCGGACGGCGAATGAGCACGCACAGACGAGGAAGAGGCAGAGTGACACGAAGGGAGGCAGAGTGTCTCGGACAGATATAAAGTGTCATTCCCGGTCGGCATAACTACCCAACAGACATGACCGTTTGGGGATGACCATGAAAATGTCCTAACCGACACAGTGTAGCCTCGTACACGAACCGATACGAACTGAAAACGACTTAGAAGTGAACTGAGACTAGAATGAAACTGACAGCTTTTTTAGTGTCAGTGAATCACATGAGGTGTATTGGGCATTACTTGAATAGGAGTGGATGGGAATGGCTGGGAAGCATGAATAAAAGATGCAGTTTCTGGCCATTTATAATGATGCATGCTTATTTGTGAAATTGGCGTGCGTATCTACAACTTAGGTAGTGAGGCATTCAAAGGTCACTTTGTTAAATAAATGGCTTCATTACGCATCCTGAATCCTGATATGTATGACAGTGTGGATTGTGGAATAATGTAGGCAAATAAAAGCTATGATAGTTGTGTGGATTATCATTCAAATTTCCGATGGAGTCGGCGCACTAATCCGCAATGCGGGTTGATTCGGATTCATCGTCCCGACTCAATCATTCCTAAGTCACATCTGCAATGGGTAGGTATACAGTCCACGGCATAAGTAATGTGCGGTTTCAGTCCTGAGTATGTTCTGCTTCTGAAGCTTAGGAATGATTAGCCAGACCACAATGAAACTTTAAATGTAGCTAACCTGTATCGTCACCCTTGCAGCTGCAACTTCACCTTTGACGTCTCCTTTTCGATCACTCCGCATTAAAAAAAAACGCCAGTCAAAGCCATCCGTTGAGATTGGTAAAATCGCACATTACTTTAGCGGTGGGCTGTACCTAATAGCTACATCACTTCACTTGTACACTGGGTATACCTGTGTAATGTGTATGATGTGCTCCATTCGCATCATTTAGGTATACACCATCGACTTCAAATTTCAGCCATTTCGTTTTAGACCTCAGTCTTCTATGAGTTTGAGACCCAGATATGTGAAATGTCATGCACTTATATTGATACACCGGCAAGAGATCAAGCTCATAAGCATACAGACGTACAAAACACTAAATGATGTAAGCGTAGATACACATTAAATATACATATGGTGGGTAAAAATTGACGCATTGGTGAGCTGGTAAAATGATTTAAGTAGCGACACATCTTTGATCTCGAATCATTCAAATGAAATCAATCTATTAGGAATACGGAACTAACGGCTCAGCAGGCATTAAAATTGATTTCGACTACATTGGCAGTTCCACCTGAACACTTAACCTTCATGCTCAGTTTTAAAACCGGTTTCAAACAAATAAATACTGAGCTGGGCCTACCGACTGAGCCCACACGATCCCACGCACCACCATTGTCTCAGTTGGCAGTTCAGCACGGCCAGTAGCGGTCTGCCACGTCAATATGAGCGTCCAGGCGGCGGCGGGTCCACGATCTCGTGCGCCACGTGTCAGAGCTCGTCGCGCACGGGAGCCGCCGGCGGGTCCGAGAGGCACGCGTCGTCGTCCTTTGCTAGCACGTGGCGCGAGCAGAGGAAGGTAGACAGAGGGATGGCCTCCTGGTACTCATTGTACCACTGCGTGATCACCTCCTCAAAGTCCTCTATCAGAGCATCACACTGAAAACGACCGGCATAGTATTCATGCCAAATATTGAAAAAGCATCAAGCTTCATTCACCTTCCCAGTTCAATGTTTCAGTAAGAAAACAAATTATTAGCTTTTAAAATATGTTATATCGATGAAGCTAGTAGAATAGAAGATCGAAAAACAGACAAAAATTTGTGGTGTGTTTATCAAATAGCAGCCAAAATAAGACAAGTATAATGAATAAAGAACCGCACATAATGAAAACCAACCTTGTTCTTCAGGTCGGTTATTTCTGCACTGGGTTTATCCCACAGTTCATGTGGGATTCCAAGGTCCACTTTTACACCTTTGTCACTGAAAATATCACACACTGTCTGTGTTACATCATACATATCCGACACAAATTGCCTCCAAGGTTAGGACAGATCATCCAAGATATTTCAGCATTGTAGACTCATTGCCATAGACACTCAAGCTAAACTGTAGGCTCACACAGGTTATACAGCAGAGATCCTGATATTTCAATGGAAAATGCAATTTATCATCAGTTGACTTGAAGCAATTGTTTACATTTGGTGTAACTACCTATCAGTTTTGATATGTAAAATAATCAAACGTCTTGATGCCTCCCTTGGCTTTCTTCATCTGCTACTTACACAAGGTTGTGAAGAGTCTGGAAGGTCTGACTGCGGCCCTTGGCAAAACGTGTGCTGTCTGTCCGCTCCTTATGCACATTGTATGAGAGGATACCTTCACACACATCTTCTAAAACCTCCAAAAGTCGGAGCTCGCTGCATAAAAGAATAAAAGCATGAAAGGGGAGAAAATCTCACAAATAAAACAGTAGGAATCAGCAATAATTTGCATAATTTTCACAAACCTCATCAGATCATTCTAGACCAAGCCTCTTGCCAAAACTTAATAAACCGCCAAACCATTTGCCATGATAAACAGTAAACATGATACATAGGTAGATAAGCTTTAACAATCCTTACGATGTTCTATATTTTGTCGTAATCTTTGATTTAGGATCTGCATCAAGGTGATAGCCAGTTTGAATAACATCATGAGTCTTGCCAGTCTTCTGTAGCTGGTCCTCAAGTTCTGCTGCCACTATTTTGCATGCTGAAAAGTGAAAGCACAACATGGCCTGATCAACATTATATTCTGTAAATAATTTTCTTTCAACTTCCCTTGACAGACAAGGAAGGAACGACAAATTTGATTATCACCTTCTCTCCCTTCCGCTTCAATAGGTCAATTGGTACACAATGTAGCAGTGAAAGAGAGAAGCAGATGTCTAGCAGGATACTTTCTGAATAAATAAATGAACATAGAATGTTTTAAAGGGTTTCAAACTAAAAACTTACCTTCACATCTGGTTGCAAATTTCACTCCATATTTCTCTTCAGCTAGATCTGTATCAGTTGCTGAGGAAGAGTTGAAAATCAATGATCCTAATACTGCTGTTAAGGCAGCTTGGCAGATAAGCATATGCATACCTGGCCAACTGATCAGCAAAATTCCCAATAAAATGTAAAATGTATTTCACAATCGAATATAGATCCAGGCGCCGTAAAAATAACAAGATCACCTAATTTTGTCAAAGTTTACTTCTGTTCAGTATGTCCGATTTTGGCAGGAAATAAATAGCAGTCGCAGAAAGTCACCAATGCAACGGCTAAATTGTTCCTAGTATTTCAGTTTTGCGCAGAGTAATTACAAATCGAATACACTTTGAACGTAGCACATGCGCATATTACGCTTCAAACAAGCGCTGCCATATCGAGTAAAAGTGATACCAAATAATAAAAATGTGCAGCAGCTAGCCAAGAAATATCCACCGACTGAATACATTTGGAATGCATAGATAGCCTTGCTGAATACGATCACGTATGAGTGACTCCGGAGTTCGGACGACGGGACGGCATCCGTTCCCTCTTTTAGATCCTCAGGACAGGCAAATCCTCCCCCACGCCTCAACCCCCTGCTCCGGGCTGGACGGGCAACTGTCTTTATCCCATGCGGGCAGTAGCGGCGGAGCACCTTCAATTAAGGGGGGGGGGGGCACTGCCGACTTTTGGTCCCATTCTTTCCATGCAACGCAACGCCCATAGGGCTAATGTTAAAATGTCAAAATCAAAGGGGGGCACGGTGCCCCGGTGCCGTCCCCGTTCCGCCGCCTATGTGCGGGATGGGATCAGTGGCGGCGGAACACCGGGGGGGGGGGAGGGGGAGCACTGCTGACTTTTGGTCCCAACTCCCATTCTTTCCATGCAACGCCCATAGGGCTTATGTTAAAATGCCAAAATCAAAGGGGGCACAGTGCCCCAGTGCCCCCTCCCCCCCATTCCGCCGCCTATGTGCGGGATTGCCCGTAAGAGCACACCCGTAGCCGGTGCGGTGAGTGCCTGCCGGTCCTCTGGACGGGCAGGCCGACCTGGCGACTCACTAGGGTGCTCGCCCAGACCAATGTCTCCCCCTAATTCCTATCATCCGTCCGGCCCTGAAATGGTCTCGCCCGGGCCGAAAGGGCCTTACCCAGCAAAACAAACAAGAAATCAGACGACGGAGTCCAGGTTAACTGTGGCATTACGTTATTTATTACAATAACTTTGCAGTATCGTGGGTGTCAGCTTCAGGGTATATGTCAGCCTGGCGTATCATTAGTATCGATGGACAATAGCACCAGACACCAGATTGGCCGGTGATCGTAAATGTCTATTTATGTAGATGCATGATTACCTAGATGCATGCATGATGCACACATCGTCACTCATTAGTAATAATGGTGATTGGTCAGCGGTAAGGCCGTATAACAAGAAAAGCCACGGCGATTTGTAATCTATATGTAGGTATTTATTAGTTAGCTGCAGTCCGCAGCGACTGGGCAATGGTACGTATTTGAGGCGAGGACGTCTGTTGAACCATACATATTCACGTTGCTGCAGCCTGCACACCTGAATCTGTCCGTTTGTCGGTCTGTCCGTCCAACGCAATCTCGAGATACTACCTAGAAGACAGATAGCACACGTGACGCTATTATAGCGTCACAAAAATAATGTTGCGAATGCAACGTATGTACATGCCTGAAACGGTCACAGGTCCAGTGAACCAGGCTGCAGGCTGGTCCGAACCGAAGCATCTGCACGAATAAGAGCTCTCCCGCGAATGCATACCAAAGGTCTGCGTGCTGTGCATATATTTCAGCTGCAGCATCATGACGAAATATTTAACTCGTGCGTGACTAGTTGGATGGTGGACACATCAAGCTTTTTTCTTGTTGGGTTAGGTCCTTTCGGTCCAATTGGAGAGCTGGGAGGATGAAAGGAATTAGGGGGAGACATTGGTCTGGGCAGGCACCCTAGTGGGTCACCGGGACTAAACCCGTCCGAATGGACAGCCTGACCAGCCCCAAGGTACTCACTACTCACTGCACCCGGCTACGGGGTGCGCTCCCTTGGGAGCAGCGGCGCCGCTCCAAGGGAGCAGCCCGCATGAGATCAGGTGCCCGTCCAGTCAGGAGTGGGAGTTGCGGCGTGGAGGAGAAAGATTTCAGTATCCTGAGGATGGAAGCGACGGAACGGAGGGACATCAAGCTGTCGACAATTCGCATAAAGCACCACTTAGTGGCGACCACTTTGCTCGTAAGTACGACAACGGGTGCGCAGTAAAAATTGAGTTTTTACAATCATACCAATCGCCACACTGCCTTTAGATTGTACGCAGGTCGTCTTTTGATCATACAAAGACCTCCTTCGTTACCTGAACTGAAATCCCAGAGAGGATATCACAGACGGGCCAGACGAGGCAGCTGCTCGGTAGGCGCCCCGTGCACCCCTGGCGCCGCCTAGCGGCAGCGGCCCGGCGGCTCCTGAGCGGTCTCCGCGATCCCGGCATCCTCGGGACCCTCCTGGCCGCAGCGGCGGCGCCACCCGGCAGTTGCAGGCTTGGCCGACGAGGAGGCGCCACTGAGGGCTGAGCAGACGGTGCCACCTGGGACTGGTAAGGTGTCGGTACCGTAGGACGGACAGATGGCGCCAGCTGGTGAGGTGCCGGTACCGTAGGACGGACAGATGGCGCCAGCTGCAGCTGGTGAGGTACAGCCGCCTACAGCGGCCTCCACCAGAGTAGCCAGGTCGAACAGGTGTTGATCACACTCTTCAGGTATGTTTCTGCGGAACCGATAAAAATACAAGCCGTTAACTATTTTACGAGTATAGACCTGTTTTAATTCACGCCGAAGCTGAGTCGGCTTTCTTCAAACACTCTGGCCGAGGAAAGAGAGGGGGTACGAGCTCCTCGTCCTTTCGCCTCTAACCAGGCTAGAGTTTCGCGAAAAACGAGGTGTATGTAGACGGAAGCGTGCAACGTTACGTGACGCAGCGACAGGAACGCCACTAGCAAATTTTGTTTCTTTTCTTCATTTGATATTTTATTTGGCTCGTATACTCTCAACCCATGGATTGAGAGTAGCCTCGATCCCCAGTCCCAATAATGCCTCCCTAACCTATTTATTTCCTGCCCAATTTTCAATGTATTTACTTTGGCCTTACGATTACCTTCTGCGATGCATTATTCAAATATTCTTGCTCACTCTAAATTAAAAGAAAATTTCATGGTCTTGAATGCCCGAAATCACCCATTCATAAACCAATTATGTTTATCATCTGACCTCGAAAATGAAATAAGGATAAGTATGACTATGATCCTAATAATGATAAACTTTTATGATTGCTCATTCATCAAGGTTGTGTCGCAATATATACAAAGAGTACAAAACACGGGTGGTATCAATTCACCCAATGAATATTGATGGACGTCTAACGACTATCGGTAATTTCCATCGGTCGGATACTGCGCCGCGCTCCTGCACGCGGCGAGCGCGTGCATCCGTGGCGTGTAGCAGGTAGGCTGGCAGCTCCGGCTCATACATACCACATGGCGGCCCAGTCGCTGATTAACCCACATAGGACGGGGTGGGGTGGAGGGGCGTATGGAGGGGGGCAGGAACATTAGTCCCAACAGACCACGCGTTGATTACCGAGTGCGTGGTGTGGTACGGTGATCGCCATGGCGCAGCGTAATCATGGAAGTGCCGCTCATAGTTACACGGCAGTTGCCAGGCGGAGTCCATATCCTATGCATGGTACTATAATAACTAATATGCACGTGTAATAGGACCATTTGACCCATTTGAGGTTTGACGCATGAGTAGGTAAGTGTCAAGCGACTAAAGCCGGGTGCAGTTTTACTGAACTCGTGCTACTCGGTCCCTGAATATCAACAAACAAGCACACAAACACTAGACAAAGATAAAAACAAACAAATGAATAAATGAACAAACAAACCAACAAAACAACAAAAGAGAACCACATACCACATACCAGATAATGGCCCTCTACCCCTCGCAGCGCGCTCACCGTTTCATGAATCTGACCAGCTGGAGCACGTAGTCGGCGTTGGGGCCACACCTGCCTCTGGCGGCGGCCACCTGGACGGCCAGTCGGGCCAGCGGCGCCTCCCCCAGCCACAGCGGGTTCCGCTCCGTGGCCACGTAGATGGTGACGGCGAACGGCGGCCGGCCCGGATCGCGGGGCACGAACGCCACACGCCGCGTCTGGTAGCCGCCCAGCACCACCTCTCGGCCGTCCAGGTAGCGCAGCGCTGCCCGGTCCGTCACCAGGAACGCGCAGCCCCACGTGGTGCCCTGGGGGACAGAGGGCTGATCAGGGCCGCGCAGCCCCACGTGGTGCCCTGGGGACAGAGGGCTGATCAGGAGCGCAGCCCTATGTGGTGCCCTGGGGGGGGGGGGCGGTCAGGGCCGCGCAGGCCGCAGCCCCACGTGGTGCCCTGGGAACAGGCAGTGCTAGGATCACTTCAGGGTCGCGTAGCCCCAAGTAGTGCCGTACAGGGAAAGCGCAAGTTCGGAACTTAGTGCATTATTTTTCAGTCTTTCGAAGGAGACCTGGTGCCACTTGGCGATGTCATATCGATCACTCAGCCTTTGCTGCTCGTTAACTTGCCAAACAGAACGTGTTTATGCTGCGTTAACCCTCGCACGACCAGGCCATTTCTCATAACACGAACGACCAGGGGGGGGGTTGTTACGACCCCCCCCCTGGCGTTTCGAAACGGAAGGTCGTAGAGCTTAGCGGAAAAGACCAACGGATTGCTCTCAACGAGATCTCGCGATTGGTGGTATATTTTTTGGTCCTAGGTCAACATTTGACCTACTTTTGACCGGTCAAAGGTCAAATTTTCGGAAAAATAGACTTTTTTCAACTGTCGGCGGCGATTGCGGCAAAACGGTGGGAGATATCGACTTGAAACCTTCACTATCGTGTTCCTTGATCAATTCTCTATCGTTTGGTATGTATTTCGTTTCCCTAGCTCTAAAAATGGCGCGTTGGGAGCGCCGGAAGTCGGCAAGGTCACAGTCGGCGGCAGAAATTCGAAAAATCAAAATTTAAATTTTTGAAATCTGATTGTATTTTTGGATTTGGGAGGTCCATTTGCTCCCTGTAGAAGCTAATATTGCTGCATATTCCCATTGAGGTGACAAGAATTAGCAAAATAGTGGTTCGGGCGCTTTTCAAAAATAGTACCGGACGCTGTTCCTCTTGTGACGTCATAGCTCCGTGACCTGACCTGACCCGGTCAAATTTCTTATACCATATGATAGCCAATACTTGCCCCAACATGCATGGGAAGTTTCATCACGATCCATCAACCGATGTCCGTACCACCGGCAGGAAACCTCGGGCGTTGGCACTCAGTTTGTGAAAATCCGGCCGGAGGCTGTACCTCTTATGACGTCATAACTCCGTGACCTGACATGACCCGATCAATTTTTTTCGGCAAAAGATGCGCAAAGGTTGCCCCATAAGGTACCCAAAATTTGGCGGCGCTGCGCGCCGCCGTTTTTGCACTATTTCCGAAAAACCTCAGGGGGGGGGTTGATACAACCCCCCCCCTAGGCGTTCTAGGGTTAAACCCCGTGCCATGTTCCCCATCGCTCTAATCGTTAGTTTCTGGCCACAAGTGACCCAAGACCAAGAGCGGTTATAGGACCAGCACGGTCGTACCTGATGAAGCCGCCTTTTCATGAAGAACCCCACCTACAGCCAAGCCGCTGGATGGCACACAGTGTGCCAGTTATTAGTAATGTATATGCATATAAAGACCCCATGCATGTGTGCGCTCTACCCACTCGCTGACCGACATGCCTTCCGTGCGTGAGGGTTCCGGTATGTATGTACCGACAGGTCCTTGTGCGACGTGCGTGACAATACAAACCAATTATTGCATGCCGTATGCACCCCGGTGGGAAACTGATCGGGTACTAAAGCTGACCGCTCACTTTGTTTCCGGGCCGGGGACGGTGCGTTGGGGGGGGGGGGGGCACTCATGTATGTAGGTAGTATTCCTTCTAGCTAATGACGAATAACTATGTAGTAGGTAACTGCTTCGGGATGAAGGACAAATAAGACTACAAAAGATGCATACAGAAACGTGACTTAAAAATCGGCATAATATAGCAATGTTTGGGCATTAACACCTAATTAATTCTGCCAAGAATACCTAACCGTAAAATCTATAGTCTGCGACTGTCACTGCATCAGGTTACCTATACCTAAATGACATAAATATCTTTACCGTTAAAAATACGTGTGTATTGATTATGTTCCTAGCTCCTGCAACAGCCGACAACGGCACTCTATGGTCGTTCCGTCGCATTTCAGTAGGTATGCAAATGTAGATCTGGCGGCGAGAGACTGCAACGCCTGATCTCTCAATAACCCTGGCGCCTGCCTGAGTGGGTATGCTGCGCCGCCGGACTCCGGAGTGCTGCGGGTGGCCTACCTTCCAGTGGCTGCGGGGAAACCTGTGGATATTCACCGCAGTGCAGTCGGTTCCTCCGAGCTGAACTAGTGGGACGTTTCCTTGAATGAAACGCTATAAGCACTAAACAGTGCCTCGATATTTTTGTAAATGCTCCAATACATATACTCGGAGGTAAATAAAAACAATAAGCATTTACTTTGTGACCTACCTAAACGTTTCCTTTAACATCTGTTACAAGGTAACGTTCGGCAAAGAGCAATCGTTAGTGACTGCAAGGTAAGTATCGCATGCCTGACTGAGTGTAGCTTAGTCGATATGCAAGCAGTGTGCATATTTCATTAGCACGGACCAGCTATAGTGGGGTCATGCGAAGAAATCCGCTGATGGAAATGTTATGGAGCACCTGGTCGGTACCATTAGCACCCGGCAGTCCCAATCAGACATCGGAGCCATTCGAACACTTCCAAAGTAATTGTATTTCCAAATTGCATTAATTACTTTTGAGTAAGTAATTAATTCAGTGGGTGCCTATTTAGTCATTGAGTCAATCAGACAAGATCTACTGGACGGAATTGGTATAAACGTTTTATTCTCGTGTTCCAAGTAATCCAATAAAAAAGATTTAGTTGTTCTCGCATCTCCTCAGGTTTCTCAGGGAAAGGTAGATAGGTAACTAAATGGCTAGTAAGCAGTCGGGGTAGTTGTTTAGGTGCGTAAATGACCGATAAGTGAGCAGTCCTCTGTTCCCCAGTCGGTGTCCCTCCGTCCCCGTCCCGGCAGTGGGTGTCTCTCCGCCTCTGTCCCCGTCCCGGCAGTCGCGGTCCCTCCGTCCCCGTCCCGGCAGTCGCGGTCCCTCCGTCCCCGTCCTGGCAGTGGGTGTCCCTCCGCCTCCGTCCCCGTCCCGGCAGTGGGTGTCCCTCCGCCTCCGTCCCCGTCCCGAGTCTGTATCCCTCCGCCTCCGTCCCCGTCCCGGCAGTGGGTGTCCCTCCGCCTCCGTCCCCGTCCCGGCAGTCGCGGTCCCTCCGTCCCCGTCCTGGCAGTGGGTGTCCCTCCGCCTCTGTCCCCGTTCCGGCAGTGGGTGTCCCGCGGCCTCCGTCCCCGTCCCGAGTCTGTGTCCCGCCGCCTCACCTGACTGTGTTCCACCAGTGTCGCGACTCGCCCCGGCTGAAAACAGAGAGAGAGAGAGACCACACATAGTGAGCGCAGGCGAATGCGTTAGTGAAAAAGGTAATTATAAAAACTGCACCAGTGGGTGTGAGACTGAGTATATAAATATATTTACGTCTGCTTTCACTTACCAGCTCACTGCTTTGTTGGCATGTGCCGGAACAAGTATATCCAACCTGCACTTCGCTATCCAACTTTGTGGTCAGGCTGCATTGTGCGATTCCATGTTGCCGGAAGTTGCAATAAGGCACCACACAATGTAGGTAGTTGGACTGAGGTACGAAAATCGGCGGGCATAGCTTCCCAGAGTATTCGAGCCTGGTAACGGCCATTTGTCTAGTCGGTCAGAGCTCACTCTGTCGGTCTGTCGGTCTGTCGGTCTGTCTGTCTGTCGGTCTGTTGGTCTGTCGGTCAGAGCTCACTCTGTCGGTCTGTCAGTCAAGGCTGACATTCTGTCGGTCTGTCGATCTGTCGGCCAGAGCTCACTATGTTGGTCAGAGCTCACTTTGTCGGTCTGTTGGTCAGAGCCTACCTACTATCCCTCCGTCGGTGCTGATCGTCACCTGCTGGGGTGTCCACTCCCGCGGTGGGTGACGCTGCCCAAGTCCCTCTGTTGGTCAGTTAGCTCAGCTGCCCCTCTGAGAGCTCACATATCCCTCTGTCAGCTGATCTCACCTGCTGGGGTGTCCCGCGGTGGGTGATGCTCCCCAAGTCCCTCTGTTGGTCAGTTAGCTCACCTACCCCTCTGAGAGCTCACACATCCCTCTGTCAGCTGATGGCTCACCTGCTGGGGTGTCCCGCGGTGGGTGACGCTGCCCTGCCAGAACCTCCGACTGAATCCCTCCACACGGCCGATGCGGCGCTCCCGGTACGAAAAGCCGGGCTTCCAGCACAGCGAGCCGTACCCGAACACCCACAGGTGAGCCCGGTCCGACTCCTGCGCGACCTCTGACCTCGGGTCGCGGGATGAGGACCACTCCTCAGAGCAGCAGTCACCAGCGGGCAGCGGCTGCTCAGCCGTGCAGGAAGGCGGCGTCATCGCTCTGAGAGGCTTGGTGTCAGTTAGCTAGTCTTGTCGGTTATTTAGTCTTAATTTGAGCCATGAAGGAATCCAGGAGGTAACAGGTAGAGGATTAGACAGAGCCTTTACGAGATACGGCTACCGGAGATATAAAAATGTCTATCCTGATTGGGACAGACTCCCAGTATGGCTGTTTTCACAAGACCTCTGCTGGCCACCAAAGCTTCTGCAGCTCAATGCTGTACTGACGGAGACCACACGGGCCAGGGACAGCCCCGCCGACACCGACGAGCCACAGCGCAGCCGCTGCCCCCTCCCCCGCCGGACCAACAATCGATGATCCTCAGGTCACAGCGGTGGGCGGTGCAGCATTGACGGAGTGGCTGACGACAAATGATATTAATGACGAGAGAGAGAGAGAGAGAGAGAGAGAGAGAGAGAGAGAGAGAGAGAGAGAGAGAGAGAGAGAGAGAGAGAGAGAGAGAGAGAGAGAGAAAGAGAGAGAGAGAGAGAGCTAAAGAGCTAGGGGGAGTGATGCACACATGCCTTGAAGCCCATCAAAGTCGTTTCATTCATGAGCGTTTCATCCGGCACACTTTCAACATTCCACGGTAGCACGACGTGAAATCCGGGTGCAGAAATAAGTCTGTTCTCGTACCCAAATGTATGCGTTGGAGTGCGGCGTGGCCACGCCTCACATGGTAACAGATACGCCTTCAGATAGCGGCCGTACCCCTCTGCAGCTCATCCATACTGGGGTCGCGTCTCGGCGCCCTAGCAGATGTCTGGCAGTCCTTGACGTCCGCTCTCCGATCTGATTGACTTCCATCGTGACTGGGTGTCCGCCGTCTCAGTCGTGACACCGCTCGGTGATATTCAGCGGCGCCCAGTGATGGATTCAGCACCTGCCATTCCTGTCAGGGCACTCCCATCTCGGGACGAGCTGTGCCAAACGGCCCACGGCACCTGAGAGATCTGCGCCAGCCGGGTGGCTGACGTATTCCGGCCGCTGGGGATGTGTTCTGATGGAATAAATCACCGGGATGTTATGTAAGTTTCACTCAAACCGAGACTAATACGAGGTGTGAAAACGGCGTCATTCGGGTCGTTTTGCTAATGAGCGGCTATGGGTGGTGATGGATGCCAGTGGTGATACGCAGCCAGGAGGTGTACGAACTGAGGACCCTGAACATGGGCCGCCCGGTGAGCCTCGGACAGCTCGGCGGCTTCTGGATACACACTGGCAGCAAATCAACGCCATTATTTCTAAAAATGAATGCCGATAGGTAGTTGATAAAGCCTATGTAAGAATAGAACATAATGTATTATAAACCTATCATCTTTCCACGGCGCAGCGGAAATTATTAGGATCTATATGTCCCCGCTTGAGTGAATGCTTCGAAAATGTCTACTATGGCCTCAAACATCAGGATTGCTATACAAAACATATAAGTACTCGTATGTATCTTGGATATTTATTTTGATGAATAGACGACAAACAAATTATGTATTTAGTATTCCCTTTCTCAGTCAAGAGAATAAATGAAATGGCTACCGATTATTTAGGTATATAGTTAGCTGAAATATGAGCCTTCATGTTCATACGAAATGAATTTCCGTGTTTTTCTTAATTTTCTTGAAATATGTTTTTTCACACGGATCGATTTGCCTGATTAACTGGCGCTTTTGTGGGCGGCGTCCTTGGCAGGCTGAGTGACGGCTGACACGGTTTGCGGCCCGTCGTGGCGGCAGCGGCACAGAGATCATTTTCTATTTTATTTTTGCTATTTTAGATGCTTATGTTATTGTTGACCCTTATTTGTAGTGTTTGTGGCGTTCGTAGCAGGGGTGCGGACTGCGGAGCCGTAGCTGGTGCTGGAGCCGGAGCCGCCGGAGCCGGCATATTTTGCCCGGAGCCGGAGCCGGAGCCGTCAAAAAGCGGGTGACTCCGGTTCCTGTTTTTTTTTTTAAGAGGAAAAAATGATTGACGTAGGTAGGTTTGACAGTACTTACAAGGCAGTGACAGTACATGTGGTATTCAAAATAGCCTTGTTATGCAAATACAGAAGCTACGTGTACCAATCCCATCGTCTTTTTTGTTCCACCCGTATTTAAAGGGACACTCCCACCTTAACATTAGTTTTGAGTTGAGATAGCCAAATTGGTGGCCATGGCCTGCAAATACCGGTTTGGGCACTCACAACATCGAAAAATGCTTTAATTCGAAGATATGGAATTTCAAACTTGCAGTTTTCGGATTCTAAGGGGCTAATGCATTGGAATGCCCCCTTAGAATTTGTGACGTCAGCGGAGATCTAACGAGTTTTAAATCTTAGACTAAAACCATCGTTAACACGTGGTGGTATACGCTGCTTTGCGCGCAACGTCTGCCGCACTTTAAGGCTGCCAAATTATTGCTTCCAAATAAAGTCGCTAGTAACAGGGGAGATCCCAAAAAGTAAACAAAAGTAAAGGCCTAATATCTTGAAAACCAGTGAATATTTTTCGGTGAAATTTGGTAGATATTCGTTTTCGCTCTTTCTGAACCAAGGTACATCACTTTCATGCCAATTCATTAACTTTTTTGAAGGTGGGAGTGTCCCTTTAATTGCATAGGGGATGTACTGAGTACTGAAGCCGGAGCCGGAGCCGGAGGCCGGAGCCGGAGCCGTTTGAAATTTCCACGGCTCCGCATCCCTGGTTTATAGTATATGTATAGTGTACCTGTGAAGGATATTTAATGCATATATGAACTCACATTATGCTCTTGCAGGAGCATAACGTGGACCACGTGAGGTCATGTGAAGTCATGGCAAGTTCAGCAGCTGCAGTTTTAAGCAATATCATTTATAGAAGCGTGACTGAAGTATGGAAGGCAAATAACACATCCGAAAGTGTATTCATATGTATTGTTATTGATGACATATGATAACATTAACAACATGATGACATTTAACATCAGTAACACTGTGTCAGCCCAAAGATGGTGCTGGGTGAGGTCACCACACTCGTGTTTTTTTTTTTTTTTTTTTTTACATTGTGCTTGGCACTTCAAAGTTCATCGAGAAATGTCCCAAAATCGGTACAGTTAACAAACTTTTGGGATTGCATCGGAGGCCACGACGTTGTTGATTTTCAGAGCGCCGTTTTGCTGAGGACGGTCCCTGGAAGGCAGACTGAAAGTGCCGCCCTCCCCCGAGAAACGTCCTGACAGTCACAAGAACAGCAGGCCCGGATAGACTGGCCATTCTTACGTGACCGTAAATGGATGGCTCAACGCGTCACGCATGGGTAAGGCGGCTCACTTTGAACCGAACGCACCATAAACAAACAACTCCGGGTAGTCATTAAACGCGACGCAATCAATACGACTTGACAGCGCACTGGAATGTCGAGACGTCCGTGGGCCCCAGATGCCTCCGAATAAGTCTGGTCACAAAGAGCAAGCGAAAGAAATAAATAGCCACGACATATGCTGGACGACTCTCATAACATACTCATTCCCGTTAAACGGAATGCGAACAACAGCGCACACCTATTTACTAGCAACAAAACATCGTAACAATTAGTTTCAACAACTAGCTGAGCAAAGCATTGTAACAACTTGGCGTCTCTGTGTCGTACAGGTTAGCCCGTCACACGGTAACAACCGTAACAACCGTGACACCGTAACAACACTTTGTACCGGCGCCGTGACGCGTTACGGTGCGACGTTACGCGATTTTCCGGCTGCGGAACAGCGACACTGGACACTCGGAGTAGGCGGCCGCGCAGTCGCCGCCCTCGGCGCCCAGCTTCTCTGCGTCCCTGTAGTCGTCCAGGCCGGGGCCGGAACCCAGCTTGTGACTCGGGCTGCGGGGACAGAGGTGGTGTCACTGGTGGCGGTGGACACTGGTGTGATGAGGTCAGTGGAGCATAGCAGCCCGGACCGAAAACAAGCGGTCGGGACCTCTGTCTATGCATTGTTGCATTGCATATGTGATGGAACAATTGTTTTCAACAGAAGGAAACGATAATAAATATGCTTCGGAATAATGAAATAAAATGACAGCTAAGCGGTCTAGTTAATAAGTATGAAAATAAAAATCAGTTTGGGCTTTTCATAAAGCATATGAGGCTATAATGCTTAGCATAGAATGCTAACTGATTCAATGACAACACCAGTGGCCGGTGTATAGCGCTGCCAGTGAGGCGCCATCCCGGCCCCGTCACTCACATGAGTGCGATGTTGAGCAGCTCTCCCACCAGGCCATCGAACAGCAGCGGCGACGACGAGATTTCGCACACCGTCTTCATCAGACACAGCTTACCGTCCATACCAAACCTGCAGCGGGACGGGACGGTCGGACATCGGTATCATAGGAAATAGGCGCAACTCCCAAACAACAGCAGCAACAACAACAACAACAACAACAACAACAACAACAACAACAACAACAACAACAACAACAACAACAACAACAACAACAACAACAACAACAACAACAACAACAAATACAACAACAACAACTGAATGAAAAGGGTGCAGCAAATCAAGGAAAGAAAACGCAACAAGACCAACTAACCGGAACTTAACTGGTTCGGCATAACTACCAGCAGTTCATTATTTTGATCTAAGACTGTCACAGCATCTGCCAAGGCTGTATTATAGTTGCCATAGCATGACTTATCATGTCCTGCCTATGACTTACTGTGAGTTGACCATCCAACGCCCAGTCCCTTCGGCTGGACTTCGAGCAATGCAGCCCTTACATCCCAATACGCACCTGCGGAACATGTTCATCATGCCCTTGTAGATCATCTTTTTGTCGCGGATGATACGGTTGTCGCGCACCTCGCGCCGTTTGCGCTGCAGGATGTGGGGAGACTCCCAGTAGTTGCCCGTCTCCTCGCCAAAGTAGTCGGCACGCTCCAGACCCACCTGACGAGGGAGGGGTCGGGGGGAGTGCTTAGCACACGGTCCGAGACTCGGGGTGGACACCGGTGGACACCCGACCACGACGGCTCCCAGCTCGCCTCAATGGATGTCTGATTAACTTCTCGCCAGTCTTATTTTTCATGACAATTAAAGATCGCTATTGCTAATACAGACAGAGTTATATTTCGATATTGATAAAAACAAGCTGAATTACAAAGAGAGAATCTTGTCCTACTGCTGACATATTGGGCGATCACGGATACCTTCCCGAATCAATTCGTAACAACATATGTAACGCAGCCATTGAATGTCCAATACAAACAAAGCACAGCTAACCATCCCGTGTAAGCCGTGAGACAAGTGAAAGTCCTCCTGCCCAGCCTTGAGCGGCGGCCCCGGACACCGTTTAGTGGCCTCGTCTCAGCCCAGTCAGCTGATCGTGTCCGAGGCACGTGATGCACTCACCTTGGACGCCCTGGAGCGCGGGAAACGGTACAAAAACTCCGTCTCCAGGCGGAAGTCCAGCTCTGGAAACGACAGGGGAGCGCGCCGGGTCAGAGGTCACAGGCAGACGAACCAGCCGGGACGGGACAGGTCAGGGGTGCTAGACGGACACGGGTCAGAGGTCACAGACGGACACGGGCCGGGGCGTGGTTTGATGGCCGAGTCAAGTGAGCTGTCTCGGCAGACGTGCAGGCACGCCAGACCGTGAGACGGGAGACGAATGTATGTAGGTACGAAGGGACCGCGAGCAGCTCGGCTGTCCGACCGGGTGTGGTATGTTTTACAAAGGAAGGGAATGTGATACTGGTATTAACTGGTAACGAGAGGTTTTCCGTGCCTTCAATGCGATATTACCGGTGCCCCTCGAAAAAGAATTAATTAATCCATTCCGATAAATATTCGTTTTTTGAAAGAAGAGAAATTAGATCCGTTTTGGGACAGACGGGTCGCTTAGTATCAGACTAAGAATTGGCTCCCTAAGATAACATAATTTTCCATATAAACGCTACGAGATCACTTTTTGTTCCTGTGAAAAGGGTGAGCTGTAAACTTTTCACTTCTAATTACACTTGTGATGATACAATTACACGGAGATAATCAATCTGCATTTGGTGAAACAACGTTCCGAGATCAATACTTCTCATGAAAGCTTATCATATCAAATCGGAACAATTTCGAAAACGTCAATATCATCGGCATCTTGGACCGTGCCCCAGTTCCCTGCGCTCATTTCTCCGCCATAAAACCTGCTTCTCGTTTGTCTCTGGCTGTGGCACTCGGACACAATTATCAGACTCGGACCGATGACCACAGTCCCGCCAGGAATGCCCGACTCCGTCCAGTTCGGCCGAAAATGAGACCCCTCGGCGCCCCGGCGCGGCGTCCGGCGCCGTACCCCGGCCCGCGGATTGCTGTCTGCTGGTATTTACTGCTTGTTCCCACCAGCCGCTGATACCCGCCACTGCAGCAGTGTGGTCCGTCTTCAGCCCCTCCCGGTGCGGCGACACGGGAGCAGCGTCCGGAGTGGTCCGTGGCCCAGTCTCGGTGGCAGGTGGCGAGATAACATCGCGCCGCGACCGGCTCTCGTTTTAATGAGCCACAACGCGCTATTCTCTCTATGTGGGAACCAGGATATAAACCAAACTTGGGCCACTGAGACATCCAAGCGGCTTCAGAGAGCATGCCCATTGCCCAGCTCAATACCCACGTTAAATACCCGAGAAGTTAGAGAAACCACTGGTGGTGGGCAAGTTTTGCACTATAAATCACCGTCGCCGTGCTGACATTGTGTCTCTCACCTTCGTGGCTGTGTCCCTCGTAGAGAAGCCAGCCGAATTTGGGCAGGATGCCGATCACGGCGCCGTCGGGGATGGCCAGCGCCAGGTCAGCGGTGCGCCGCTGGCGGGCCGCGCGCGTGATGTTCTCGGCAGCACGCACCGGTCGGTAGAGCGGCTCCGGCTTCCTGAGGACGGCAGACTCTGGACGTTCAGACACCCACCACGGCAGGCTGAGACTCGCGGAGGGATACGGCGGTGTGATTGTTTTACATAAGCCATAGTCCTGACTGTTCACTGTTCACTGTTCAGGTTACTTCATTAGGCGCCGGACAATTAGGAGGAAAGTTGCGCTTCGACCCGAGACAAATGCCACATCCGGCAGGATAACTACGATCATCAGGACAGTTATACGAATGTATATAAGACTGGGATTATCTCAGAGGATTATGGGATTATCCCAGAGGATATGGTATCCCAGTGGGATACCATATCCTCTTGAACCGGTGTCTGTCGTCGCCACGGCTCCTATGTTATTACTAGGTGGGAAACAGCTGGGCATCCTATTCGCAAAGAAAATGTGACATCCTTGAGCATTACTAGCTAGGTGTTGGCTCGCTGCCCTGTTTCTACCGAGCCTGTTGCTAGGGGAGTAAGACGAGGCCTAGTGCCCTAGGACGGGGACATTATACACCTCAACCATTGAACCGGGTCAATGCATCACATTTCACGCTGCAATTTACAACCGAATTACAATCGCACCTCATTGAATAGCCTGTCGTATGAATTTGATTCCGAGTAGGTGCAGATGTCCGCCTCAATTAGCATATGAGGGTGCCGCTCCTTGAAACAGCGCAGATAAAGGAGGAATGTCGGCAGCGAGCATGCATGCACGGTCTGAGTGAGCATGCCCCTCCGACAATGATATTCACCGAATATTTGGATTTCACATTCAGGTCAGGATTCAAGGGACGACTGGGCCGACTCCTGACCCAGAAGGCCGCTGAGGACTGGGCAGGAAGAATGGGGGCCTCAGCAGTTCTTTGTATTTAGATTGACGCATGCATTTTGCACTTTCATGTTTAATCTTTTAAAGACTGGTGTGCATACTGTATTGCAGACGTTAGCGCTTTCTAAAATGCAATACGGCATTCTGTATAAATGTCAGTGAATCGATCACTTTTCATGTGAAATGAAATCGGCCAACAGCCGGGTCGTCCGGCTATGGGGGCACCTTACAAACGCCGAATGTAAAATGTTTGCCGTCTATCCGCATTGTCTGATCGTGCGATACGGAGGACAGAGGGCGAGCAACACGCCATTCTTGAAAAGTGTACTGCTCTCAAAACTAACTACTTCATTAAGATCACCCAAATACATGCAACAACACTTAAAAGACAGTCAATCATCTTACAAATGATATTGGCTCGTACGGAGCTGCCGTTGCAGAAATGCTTCCGAGTGGCAGGGTCGCGCTACTTTACAGTAGAGCAATATAACAGTGAACCCGCCTCAATGCTGTGTTTAGCGTTAGCATCAAGAGTGAAAGGAGAAAAGGAATTAACGATCCAATGGCAGCGGATTCCGAGCGCCGTAGAAAGTGAGTCCTGGCCCCCGGTCGTGTTCTGTCAGAGTGGTGAGCAGCCGCTGACGTTCCGCGTCCGTCAGAGCGGCGGAGGGTATAGACAGGCGTGGCGGGGGCCCTGCCCCGGGCACTGCAGACACACGGGGTGGCCGCGGCGGCGGGGAGGGGACGTGGTCCTCCCTTAGCAACCAAATATGCGCACTTGGTGCAGGCGTGACAATTCACGATGAGTTGGGCACGCCTGCGCTTGTGCACTGTGCTGTGATATTGGTCCACATCCATAGGCGCGGGAGCCGGGGGGGGGGCAGTGGGGCAGCTTGCCCCCCCCCCCAACTCTGGGGCCGTGAGGGCGATGCCCCCACAGCTTTGAGACGGAATACCACACTTTTTTTGCAAATATTTTCTTTTTTGTTGAAAAAGCCAAGGGATGAAAAATAAGTGGCCTAAAACCGGTGAGAAAACTAGATTTGGGGGTACCCTAGGTTGATCTCTATTAGCCGTTTTCACGACGGCCATCTGGTACACATTTGGTGCACATCTGGTACAGATTAGGTGCAGATTTGGTCAAATCAGGTTCAGTGTGTCTCTTAGCAGCTATCAGCTAGGGTTGTACTAATTGCTTATATGCCTGCTTTGCCATATTATCAGAGAGCATCATCGATTAAAACACTGAAATAAATTCATAAAATGAAGATATTTGCTGTAAAAGAAATTAGGTGCAGTTTTGGTCAAATCAGGTGCATTCGCCGGATAGCCCGTCGTGAAAACGGCTAGTATGGTGTGCCCCCCCCAAGTCTGAACGTGGTTCCCGCGCCCCTGTCCACATCGGTGGGCTCACATGGCAGCGATCCATCGCTGGTACAGGTGTATCCGTAACAAAGCCTGGATATCGCTACACTTCGTCAAGAATTGACTACGAGCAATCTTCCACCAAAGGAAAAGTTATCCATATGTCAGTGGTATCCATACGTCCATGCGAACAATCAGCCCTCGCAATTAAAGAGGCTGTTTAGAGGTCAATCATGCAAGGTCGGGGTTTGGTTAAGAGTTTCCACAGATTCAATTCATTTAATTTCTTTAAATATTTGCATTTAAGTTATTCATAATATTGTTATTGTTTAGAACAAAACGGATGTCAAGTACCTACATAAAAGATAACAAAGCCATTGCTATATCACAAACGAACCATCGTGTATCAAGGTCATCCGAGGTCAACCGAGGTTAAATCATTCCTAATGAGGACGGCAGAATGCCCGTTTCGGTCATGGGTTATTTTATATGCGTAGAAACTTGTCTGGAATCGCAATGAATCCGTAAATGACAATCGGGAGCTGCTACAGAATCGTGGTTTGCATTATAAGCATCTATTTCAGAACATAACCCGGCCGGGCCCGGGGGGTAATCCCAACCACCGCAGCCCGGGGAGGGGCGTTTTTCGCCCCCCCCCCCCCTGTCTAACTCCGTAAATAAGGGAGCTACGGAAACAAAGCGGTACCAAACGAAAGGTCCTTACGAGACGATTCTAAAGCACATAAAATTTTTTACCTCAGGTCAATTTTCAAGGTCAGAGGTCAAGGTCAAAGGCAAAAACCGGTACATGTGTAGTGATCTCAAAGTAAGCCTTCTAGAGGACGACAGGCTTCATCAAACCGGAAAAATTGGGTGTCAAACGAAAGAAGAGAGTCTGATAATTCCGAAAATGTGCTTAAAATTAAAGGTCAAGGTCAACGTCACGCTCAAAATTGACCTCAAACTTGGCACTTTTTCGCACATCTTGCGTGCTAGCTTCAAAGATGTTTTGAAGCGTTTTGAGGCTTATCAGTTCCCTATTTGTGGTTCATCTTACGATACAAGGCTGCTCAAAGGTCAAGGTCACAGAAGAGTATCCCTGCTAGAGGCTATTTCACTGATTCAATCTAGTAATAATAAATAAGACAATTTCGCCGTCCAGAAGCTCTAAATGAAGGCTTAGAGGAAAAATAGATGCCAGATTCGTGATCAGCGGGTACAAATCCATCATAAATGACCTCTCATGTGACAAGGTCAACCAGAGGTCATTCGAGGTCACATGAGGTCAACATAAAACTTGACCTTTCCGAGCAAAATATATATCATTCGACGTGGCTTGACAAGGCGAATGCGATGGTACCATTGCTGTAACTCTAGGACCTTTTTTGTCGAAGTTATTTGCGAAAAACTAAAATCACATTTTGGGGTCGTTGACCTGACCTCTGACCTCAGGTCACCAAAACCATTTTTCTATTTTTCTCTAGGTCAAACGCTACACAACCGTGTTCGTAATTTGTCTTTATCTCTAAAACTCTATTTTTAGCAGCTATTTGAAGTTTGCGTTTGAAGTGAAATCTTTGTCAAAACTACGAAATGACTATATTGGTCGCTGGTAAGCAGTGCCATTGCCATACCTCAATAAATGCCGGGACTTTACGAGTCAGTTCCGGACGCGACGTCTTCGCGGATTTAATCTGCAATGTAGATGTTCCCTGACCTCCCACAACACTGCAGAGATTACCCAATGATGTCATACGGCTCCACACGCTCGGAACTCAATCGCCTTGCAGAAGCTGAGCTGGACTGGACCGTACTATGCCACGCGCTCGGACTACTACGATCGCGTCTGTGCGACAGTAAATGGAAAGTGGGCCGTGTAGGACAAGTGTCCGACTTGTTACGCGCACGATGTCATTGTCTGGTCCGGACGGTGGATGTCAGAGCTGCGGCAGCGAGGCAGCATGGTGCGCGAGAGAAGGTTGTGTAGACGGCCAAGTTCGCCCACCGATATACGGGTTCCGATTAGCCCGCATCGGATATGAACATCGGTGTGCTTGTGTTGAACATATCCGCATTTATGAACTATTTCATCAGAAAGTGAGACTTTTTACACACTAATATCGGAAGGTGTGTATGCACCTAATTTATTGGTGCCACTAAAACAAAGTACTTTGGATGTTTGAAAAGGAAAGTACATAGAATGGCTTTTCTGGGAAGTGTCCGGAGTGGGGATGGACTCGCCCTCTTGCGAAATCCGCAACGGTCCCGTCCCATGTATCACGGTCCGGTTTTGGCGTCCGTTTGGTAATCAGCGCCGCCGGTGCGGTCGGTTCAGGCGCACCGGTCCCCTTTCCCCTCTTTGAATGGGGGAAAGCTGCCCATTGCCGCGGCCTTTCTGACACCTCGAAGAATTACGTTCACCTCTGGGACAATGAAGTCGCAATTCGCCTATATGTCAGCCTGTGCCGAAAAAGTCGGGCCGTTTGAAGGTGACAATTTACACCACATTCAGGAAACGGGAACATCACCGAATGACAAAAGCTGAATAGATCACCGACATTCAGGCTCCAGTCGAAAATGGCCTGAGAAGATCGACTCTGACTCATGATCTGGTTTTAAGCTCCGATCAGTTTGGCAGTATAGGCGTCAGGTGACTCGAAAACACATATTTTCTTAGGAAAGGTTGGGTTAGGAACGACTAAAACCGCTTATCCTATAAATTCAAGAAAGTCATCAAACATTTCCTGGACTAAAAATAAATGAATTGCGCTTCCCTGGGCACGTTCCCTGCTGTTTTACTCGACTCGATCATTCTGCCCAGGTGAGCACAAGTTCATTGAAGGGATCAAGTGATTACATTTCCGTACGATCAAGGCGCGGACAATCGCTTTGCAAGGCTGCCGTGTTACGCTCCTCCGATACCGGTTATCGGCACTCGCACTCGTAACGTGTGTGTGAACGAATCTTAATCGGTTCTAGCGTCGGTTAAGATGTATTCGTGCCGATACGGTGGAGTTCGATCTCATTTTCGCAATGACACTACGCCTTCATTACCTAATAGCATTTTTCGAGGTGGAATATTCCGCACCTGTTATTGGATTGATTTGAAAGCAAAGAAGCAAAGCAATCGACATTTTCTTCTAAAGGCTCATTCGAAGCCCTACCTGAAAACAACTACTAAAGATTATCAGATACGTAACGGATAAGCGGATTAAGAAGATGGTGCCCGATGTTCCGTCGTGGAAAGGGTTATTGTTTATAAGTATGAGTTGTACTTCAAGGCTGTTAGTGTTTGATTATGTACTAGGAGTTAAGAAAAATTCACAAGAGTAAAGACGTTGTGGTCTAAGGACAACTAAAATAGTTTTCTAAATCGCACAAGATGGCTCTGATTACCTGCTGCCTCGTTAGTATTTTTAACCCTCGCCGGACCTATTGGTTTTCTACATACGCGCCGGCCGAGGGGGGGGGGGCGGGTACGACCCCCCCTCGCCGTTTCGCCCCTGGTGGAGCTAGCGCGTCGCGGAAAAAACGAGCGTGTGCGCCGATACGAGACGCAGAGATTGGTACCCGATTTTAAGGTCCTAGGTCAACCGGTGACCTCTGAGGTCAGGTCAAGTGCCCCAAGGTACGGTTCAGTTTTTGGTGAATAACTTCGCCAAAACAGGCCGCAGAGCGCCGATTTTGGCAGCATCGTGTTCGCCTCGCTAAGGCGCGTCGAATGATATACTTTTTGTCCGGGTCAGGTCAACTTGGGGTGTTGACCTCAGGTCAAGGTCAGGTCAGCACCCCCAGGTCACGAAGTTGGTCGAAAGAGGTCATGTCGCATATCATTCGATTCGGCAGGCCTTCCTGAGTCCATTGGTGGCTTTCCCGACTCGCTAGCTCAATTTGATCAAGAGTTATTGACGAAAAACTAATATGACCTTGATGACGTCATAAATGACGTCACGCAAGGTCAACATTGCAAAAGTGACGCATCTAACCTTGCAAGGAGTGCATCAAATCACGATTCTGTGTGCTTGAGATAGTTGGAGATCGTTCCCGGCGCCAGAATAGCAGTTTTCATTTTTCCCCATTGACTTATAATGGTGAGGTCACGAAAATGACCTGACCTCATATGACCTTTAGGAAAAATCCGAGATATACAAGTTGTGGGACTCATAATGGATACTAGATCCTGCAAGTTTCATTTCCCTGTGACATCTCCTCTGGCAGTGAGGGCGTTGCGAAGTTGCGACATCTGAAGACCGTGCAGAGGTTCACTTATGACGTCATAGGTCAGTGACCTGACCTGACCCAAAAATGCGGTTGGTGTCAAAAGATGCGGCTTGGATCAAAGGTCAGGTATGCCAAGTTTCAGCTCTCTATCGCCAGCGTGTTCGGAGCTATCGCGAAAAAACCCTATGGGGGGGGCGGCACCCGCCCCCCCCCCTCGGCCGGCGAGGGTTAAGACAAGCAGTGGGTCTTACCAGCTTACTTACCCAACTAGCTGCTAGCCTTTACTTTAATTGTTTTGATAATCCAAATGCCAGGGTATACCCTTATACACTCACCAGAAGACTATAATATTTTGCCCCGATAGCCAGAGCGCCGTTTCACTCACCAAAAGTCCTTTTCCATGGCACAGGTGGCGTGCAGGGTGACACAGACGGCCGCGAGCAGCAGCGCCGCTCCCCGCGCTGGTAACCACGCCATCGACATGCTGGCCACTCGCAGGGACGGAGTTCAGACGAGAGTCGACCGCCCGGGTCTGTCGAGGCCGACTGCGCTGACACCGAGTGATGCGGCTGGCTGGAGCTGCGGACCGAGTCGGGTGTGACGGGGCGGAGACGGCGGCGGCGACTGACGGCCCTGTGCGCCGAGAGGGGACGCGCTACCGCCGCCGCCGAGTGGCCGAAGCGGGTCAGCGCGGCCCGGCGGCGGTCACGGGACCGGCTCTCCCCTGCCGGCCGGCCATCCGTCAGTGGCGTGTGCCGCCCGCCCGAGCAGCGGCGCCAATTAGCAGCGGCGCCGTCCGCCCCGGCGCCCGCCGAGTGATTGCTGATGGGTGATCAGCGGCCGGGGGTGTCGGCGCCGCGCCGGTGGTCGACCGGTGTCGGTCCGCGCCGCCCAGCTGTTTGGTTTAAACATTATGGGAGCCGCGGACGGATCAGCGGCCCTCGCTCACCCAAGGTGACGGCAATACAGTGAACTTATTGGATGTGTACTTACATATGCTAAAGGGGCTCCTATACGCCCCCACACTCCGAGGATGCTATGAGAGCTCCGTAACTAGGACCATGAAAGTCAATGTGCATGTCACTATGGATTAGTGAGTAAAATGAGCTCTGCGAGTGAGGCTGGTGCCATGGTGACAACAGTCCGCCGGCCGCTGCCGGAGATTGAGTGACCTGGGACAGGGTCGAGACGGTGACAGCACAGCCGTGGCGTTATGCACTGGTGGGCTCCGCGTGCTCCGTGGAGAGCGTTTTCACTCATGGAGGGGAGGCTATAAGGGCAAATGATCTGCTTTTAATATGTCGGAATTATGAAGGGTTTCGTCAAGACATATTTATGATGTGTCATCAGCAAAGTGGCATGCGGGCTTTGTGAGATACCCGCAATCCGTTTCAGGCAATCCGAACACCGAAAAGAGCCTTCCCCTTTCGGTATTACACGATGCTTTAAAATATTGCTACACCGAGCTACATCGACTTAACGATTGCTTTGAAACTTACAGCAGTTGATAACAGCAACAGCCTGTATAAAATGTGTACACGAACGAATGAATTGTAATTCATTCGACGCGTCCGTCTTTAACGAGAGGAACACGATACCGGAAAAATAAATGTCGCACGAGTTTTGAGGCATAAGCTATTGCAGAAAAAACCTTTTATACGAGAAGGTCCGTTTTGACAATTTTTACCCTCTGGAGGCTAAACCTTACCCACATCTGAGAAAATATTCAGAAAAAGCGTTAAAGGAGCTATGTAATGCGCTTTTTCGCGGCGCTGTAGCTTTATCTCTTCCACAGTTATGCGCCACTTTGTTGAAGCGAAATTTAAACTATGATCTTTGGTGACCTGACGGCTGACCTTTGACATTACCTGAAAATGACCTGAAATAGGTACCTACTTTACCTACTTTAGTCATGATTTTTTTACGCTCTTTCGAGCGCCGCCTACTGCGTGTCGCTACGTGACTCAGGAGCCGAGTTAGAAAGGGGATGTTCAAACACCCCTACCCCCACCAGCAGGGCATGGAAATCCAGGACCCCCAGGGGGGGGGGGGCTATAGTAGGAGGCCAGGATTTTTAACATTATGTACGCATATGGGGGTGCACTGAAAGATCAAAACACCCCACTATCCAGTGGCGCGGGAACTTCTTCCAGACTGGGGGGGGGGGTGAACCATCATAGAGATTAACCTAGGGTACCCCCAAATCTAGCTTTCTCATCGGTTTTAGGCCACTTATTTTTCAGACCTTGGCCTTATCAACGAAAAAAAAGAAGAAAATATTTGCAAAAAAGTGAGGTATTCCGTCTCAGCTGAGTGAAGAAACTACCATTTTGGCAACCTGGAATAAAGGTTTTAAGCTGCCAAATGAGTTGCCAAGTCAGTAAAATAGGTAGATTTTTCACTCACATGCTTTCTTCCTTTGCGACTCACAACCCCTAATTTGGGGAGGACAAGCTGCCCCAACGGTTCCTGGCCTCATGAAAAGTTGTGAGGCACCGCCCCCACGGCCCCAGAGTTGTGAGGGCAAGCTTCCCCCACTGCCCTCTCCCCCGGTTCCCGCGCCTATGTTTGAATCTATGAAATTGTGTTGGTAGATTTCCGATTTCGATTCCTCCAGCTGGGGGGGGGGGGGGGGGGCTCAAATACATTACGAGCCCCCCCAGCCGAAAAGTTTGAGGGGCTCAGCCCCCCCTAGCCCCCCCGGTTCCCGCGCCACTGGCACTATCAGCTTGCCCCGGCCCTTCTCATCGTTCTTACATACCTTATACTCCTAAATAAGACCTGAAATCGTACATCTACATAAAGCCAATTGATGAACACACAAGCACTTTTGCTAATAATCAATGTTTGTTAATTACACTGTGTAAGTGATGCACCCGAGCTAATTTTCAGTGATTCCCGGTAAGTGAACCTGAACGTCATAGCGGTACCTACAATACCGATCGGTTGTCTGGCCGCTGATATGAATGAAGAAGCGAAACAGAACTCGTATCGGCCACCTCTTTGGCGACATTTGGCGAATTAAAGGGACCCTCCCACTTTCAAAAAAATTAATGAATTGGCAGGAAAGTGATGACGCTCGGTTCAGAAAGAGCGAAAACGAATATCTACCAAATTTCATCGAAAAATATTTACCGGTTTTCTAGATATTAGACTTTTACTTTTGTTTACTTTTTGGGATCTCCGCTGCTCCTATAGCGACTTTATTCGAAAGTGCAGCACTTGTTGCACGCAAAGCAGCATATACATATACCACCGCGTGCTAACAAACGTTTGAGTAAAAGATTTAAAATCGTTAGCTTTGCGCTGACGTCGCACATTCAGAGGGGGCATTCTAATGCATTAGCCTTCTGAATCCAAGTGCTGCAACTTTGAAATTAGATATTTTCGAGTTGAGGCATTTCTCGGTCTTGTGAGTGCGCAAACCGGTAAGTGCAAGCCAGGGACCACATTTTGGCTACCTCAACACTCAAAACTAATGTTAAGGTGGGATGGTCACTTTAAGCCCAGCAATTCGAATTAAAACATTTGCCAACAGATCAGATGCATTTGATTTTCACAGCCCAAAACCAGTATTCAATTTTTGGTGATTGACGATGGATCGAAATTGCCATGTGCCGTGTGCAATTCACCCTATAACCTGTCTCTACCCGCCTATCAAATTTCGGCGCGATCGGTCAGTTATTGCCGTGAGTGATCGCCATGAAGTTATTGCATCCATCCATCCATCCAACTGTTTATTGGTAATACAAATTAAACGCATAATATATAGTAAAATAAGAGGAGGCACAAAAGCCAAAGGGCTTAAAGGAAACAGTTCACTTTCCTGAAATTAGTATTTTGCTATTGATTTATGATTTTTTATGCTCAAAATGATCATGAAAGAAAGTAAAACCTTTTTGTAAAAACAATTATTTTCTATATTTTAATATAGTACGAACTATATTCTATGTAAAATAATGTTTGAGGCGGAAGCTTATTACGCGTTGACCAATCATATCGCGTAATTCAAACCTACGCATACTGCATTGGCTGTAAGCAGCATGCTGATTGGCTGACGATGACGTGGCTGCATTCCTGTGCAAGGCACGCATTCCTCTGCAAGGCACTCTTCTCGGAACGAGAAATGGAATATCTTCGTCTAGGGTGATCGTTGAGCCGTAAAAGCTCTTGATTTGTGCCAGTCTCAGCTCAAGCTACGAAACTGCTATTCCAGTTCAAAACCCCATGTTAAAAGTGAACTATTTCCTTTAAGTCTCGGTGCCAACTCTCGTGATGCAGTGCACCGGAAATATGTAGGTATAATACTAGCGCAGACACACATACATGCATACTTACATACATACACATACGTACATACATACACATACATACATATATACGTACACGCCTGAACACATTCATCATCTCTCATACTTCGAACATACGCTCAGTCAGAAGTTCGCCCGACCGCCGCCCCGTCGCCGGCCACCGCCCGCGACGGCGGCGGCAAATGCAAGCGGAGCATTTCCCACAAACCTAAGTTTGTACGCGGCACATTCTGGTTATTGTGGTACTGGTTATTTAAATTTTGCCAGACGAAAGAGTGGTCTATTTCGATTCATTTTGCCCGTGTAAGTATGCTTGCATGGCGATCTGGCGGCCATTCACTGTATGTAGGCTGTACCGCACTCTCCGGTGCGTTGCGGCACAGCCTACCTCCCGTGCAGATGCACCGTCGCCGACTCTCATGGCAGAATTCGCAGTTCGCACTGCACGCTGTATGAAAGCATTACCAGCATGGGAGTTGACGTTGAGTGCTTACACATATCCGACAGTGGTACGGGATTGTATTGAGTCAGACATTTCTGTAGTGGTTTACTTTTAGGAGACCAGAGGCGGATCCAGCTCAGAGTTTTTTTTTTTTTTTGGGGGGGGGCAAACCATAACAATTTATCGATTTTTTCCATGCCTCGTCCATAGGCGTAATGTTAAAATCATGCCGTTTGGGAGGGGCAAATGCCCATTTTGCCCCCCCCTGGATCCGCCACTGTAGGAGACAGCCCTTTGTGATGCCCCACTTCAGTGACTTTATGCGTCACCCCTTAATAACATATTTTACAATGCGTTTTAAACCCCTTATAGAAAGCCTTTTAGCTTATGCCTACAAAAAAAAGATAAAATGCTTCACTACGACACGAGTGGCCCAAAATGGAATCTGTTTGCAATGATTGCGCCCGTTTGGCCGTTTTATGCGAAAACACTCCACTGTTAAAATAACAAAGATATTTGTGGGTATGACTAATACGGAGCTCACACTACCATTTACACGTCAACTTGACACTATAGGTAGGCGTCTTCTTAAAAACGATTTGCCGATATTTTACGACGCTCTTAAGAGGCGCTTGTGATGAGTAAAAACATTGTAGCGCGATCCCGCACTGCTTTCGTCGAGAAAAGACCTCTTTTTATTTACTGCAGAAGCTCAGAACCAAGGAACGTTGCAGCACTTTACTCTCATCAATATTTCCGATCATTTTAACATTGAAATGTTTCAACATTAAGCAAAAAATATAGGAAATTCAAAGGTTAAAGCTGCTCATTTACGATAGATATTTGGTGCTTGTCAGTGGTAAGTACTAAGTAGAGTACTTATTCGGTTAACAGATGTTTGGTCGAAAGGCGGACACAAAACTAAAGCGACAGCAAAGAGGAGCTAACCGTGACAAAAGGGCACCTAACGGTACCGAGTGTAGGGCGGTCTATCACAAGTTTGCATCAGCGTTGAATGTTTCAGGCCAGCGCCGAGCCAAATTTCAGGCTGATGACCTCGTTCAGATACTGGTTGCGAGACTTATGCACTATGCAGGCTCAGAAAGGGCCATCTGACGTTGAATAGATAGTGTGCCAAATTCGGTGCGGCGCGCGACAGATAAGAAGCATAGTAGACGTCATGTGCTAACTTTGGACATATTAATCGGTGAACAACAATAGCATTGACGAATAAGTGATTTTTATTTTTGAAAGTCGTAACGAAGTTATAGGTGAGGGTTAGGTATTTTGAACAAGTTATACCCTAAGAACACCTGACCGCACCCCTTTAGAGCTCACTCCGTCATATGACTTTCAGAGAGATCGAATAATGAAGCATGGCATGCGTGAATGAGCATTTATTTTTTAGGCCAATATTTAAAGAAGCAGTTTTCTTGCTCTGGAGGCGCAGGCAAGTCATCATATCACTTATGATATATAATGTCCCTGCACTCGCAGCAAGACTATACGAGTACTACCTACTCTGTCTCAAGAATCCCCCCTGTAAACTGAAATTCATGGCATTCAATTCCACTTGGTGCGCGAAACATCAGGCCCCGGGCGTTGGGTTGTAAGTCTCGCCAATGCTGAATTGCCGAGTACCGGACCCGGTTCTGACGACCCGGCCTACCCTATCTGCCCCGGGTCATCGGCCCGCCGAGAGACGGGGCTAAAAATCACCCACTGGCCGCAGTTTCTCGGGCACGAAACGACACGTTGACTTATTCAACGACGGCTGATTTCATCTGGTCAGACGTCAGAGGACACAGGCCTGGTTAATGTACTGAGAAACATCCATGCAAATGCACCAGTGGGCCGGCTGGAGGCTTATTTAGAGCTTTTTGTGTGTCAGCTAGGTCGATACGGGTTTCAACCAAGTCGGAGGTGTGCATCGAAAGCAGCCAGGGTGGAGCACGGCCGCCCTACATAACACCGATGTCCTATTTCGCAAATGCAAATGCAACAATGCCGCTGAAAGTTATATATGTAAGAATGCACATAACCGCAAATGAGCGCTAGTATAACGCACAGTTTCTCCACCCGCCGCCGTCCTATTCCTGCTAAAAGTGCCCTCCCTAAGCAATCTCCACAGGCTGACTTATTTGGAAGACAAATCTGACGGTATGTAGAAGTCCTAGTTATATAATTGATTGACAGAATTGACAGACCTGTCTTGGAAGCTTCTGCCAGTGATTGCTGGTAATGCATCATTCGTGGTCGTTTTTGCTCAGTACAACAATGGGACCAGAGGCAGGATCGGCTTGACCCGAGCTGGGCTAGAAGCATGGCGTGAGATGGTGGACTGCAGAATTATTGGACGGGTAAACGGGTATGGGAACCATCAGCTACGTGCTTAAAACGTTTTTGTGGCAATACAGCCAGGTCACGAGTCGGTCAATATTGCAGATAAAGTTTCCGCAAAAACATATGGAGCTTTTGCCCTCTGAAGGCTAAACCCCTTAGGTCCAAGTCTGAGGATATTATTCAGAAATGGCATTAAAAACTATCGAATGCGTTTCCCCAGCGCTGTGGCTTTACCCGTCTCCGAGTCTTTGCCCGATTTACCCAAAATTATTGAAATAGGCCAACTTTGAACTTCGATGAGCTCTGGTGATATGACCTCTGACCCGACGCAAGAAAATGACCTGAGTACCCTAATTTCGTTTTTTACGCTGTTCGAAAGACGCTTTACAAGCATCGTTACATGACCCAGGAGTCGAGCTCAACGAGTGCATTGTACGGAGTGGCGAGCTCGAGCCGCCCGTATGCACGGCGTAGAAACTAGAAAGCCAGGTGCTCCGGCGGTGCGTGGTTCAAGAACATTCTTGATAAACATTACGGACCTTCATCGCTCTAGCATGCCTCTTACATGAGTCGTCGTCGAGAAACTGCTGATCTAACCCTCGCCGGCCGAGGGGGGGGGGGCGGGTGCCGCCCCCCCCCCATAGGGTTTTTTCACGATAGCTCCGAACACGCTGGCGATAGAGAGCTGAAACTTGGCATACCTGACCTTTGATTCAGGCCGCATCTTTTGACACCAACCGCATTTTTGGGTCATGTCAGGTCACTGACCTATGACGTCATAAGTGAACTTCTGCACGGTCTTCAGATGTCGCAACTTCGCAACGCCCTCACTGCCAGAGGAGATGTCACAGGGAAATGAAACTTGCAGGATCTAGTATCCATTATGATTCTCACAACTTGTATATCTCGGATTTTTTCCTAAAGGTCATATGAGGTCAGGTCATTTTCGTGACCTCATCATTATAAGTCAATGGGGAAAAATGAAAACTGCTATTCTGGCGCCGGGAACGATCTGCAACTATCTCAAGCACACAGAATCGTGATTTAGTGCCCTCCTTGCAAGGTTAGATGCGTCACTTTTGCAATGTTGACCTTGCGTGACGTCATTAATGACGTCATCAAGGTCATATTAGTTTTTCGTCAATAACTCTGGATCAAATTGAGCTAGCGAGTCGGGAAAGCCGCCAATGGGCTCAGGAAGACCTGCCGAATCGAATGATATGCGACATGACCTCTTTCGACCAGCTTCGTGACCTAGGGGTGCTGACCTGACCTTGACCTGAGGTCAACACCCCAAGTTGACCTGACCCGGACAAAAAGTATATCATTCGACGCGCCTGAGCGAGGCGAACACGATGCTGCCAAAATCGCGGCTCTGCGGCCGTTTTTTGCGAAGTTATTCGCCAAAAACTGAACCGTACCTTGGGGCACTTGACCTGACCTCAGAGGTCACCGGTTGACCTAGGACCTTAAAATCGGGTACCAATCTCTGCGTCTCGTAACGGCGCACACGCTCGTTTTTTCCGCGACGCGCTAGCTCCACCAGGGGCGAAACGGCGAGGGGGGGGGTCGTACCCGCCCCCCCCCCCCTCGGCCGGCGCGTATGTAGAAAACCAATAGGTCCGGCGAGGGCTAATTTGATGACTAGTAGCCGTTTTCACGACGGCCACCTGGGACACATTTGGTGCAGATCTGGTCAAATTAAGTTCATTTTGTTCAATGAAGAGCTGTCAGTATGGGTTGCACAGATGCTTATAGACCTTATTTTTTTAAATTATCATACATTATTTTCGACTAAACACAACTAAATTGATATGAATATATTTGTTGTAAGATTTGGTGCAAATTCGCTCAATTAGGTGCATTCGCCAGATAGCCCGTCGTGAAAACGGCTAACATGACGCCAAATGCCGGGTGGGGTCACGGGTGCAACTATCCTATTCCGATTCCGATTCCCCCGATGAGCGTATATAAATATGACCTGCAGCGTCTTTAAACTAAGCGATCTTTGCCTCTGATTTCGACCACAGCTCGGCTTGGACCAAGGCTTGGAGGTCCGCGAGACCAGCTGAGCACCTGAAACTTCATCTGATACCAGCAAGGAGGTAATCAGGGATACTGCAGATATTTCTCCATAAAATATATATTTCATCAACAGCATAACATGTCAGACAGACCACCGCTGCCCACCCAAATATCATCTTCGATGTCCGATGGCACATATAACACAGACGGTTGTGACCTGGTGACTCGCGCGGATATGCTCTCGCCAGTCACTCAGTTCGGCGCTCAGAGTGTTGGACAGAGGCAACTAACAAGTAACATTGAACACACCTATTGCTGCTGTTTCTATACTGTGTCAATCAGCCATAGGCGGAACTAACAACGAAATAAACGAGGAATGTCCACCACCCAACTCCGTAGGTGTTTATGGGTGAATCTGCCAGATATACCCAGATATTATCTGGCATGTAGAGAGGTCAAAAAGGAATGTCGCAAAACTGGCATGCTACAGGGTACTATCGGAACGGAATGACAAGACGCCAAAACACCAGTATAAACAAATGACAGCAACTACCGGACTAGCATGCACAAACCACATCCGCTGATATAATAAACATTATCCACTAACCCGATCAGTCGGGAGGGCACGAACACTATCATAGTCGAACCATCCGTTTTGGTTATGGCGGGCAGTCTGAAACATTCAAGTGCTTCTGCCCACATATAAAAATTACTGACATAACGCGGAACTGTTTGGTGCTAGACACAACATTCACTTATGTAAATCACAGCTGCCTACGGCGTTATAAGAACGCAGATTCATAGACTAAATACAATCACGTCAACATTCATCAAAGCTCAACAATCAGGGTAGACCTGCGACAATCACTGATATGTCTCACCCCTGGGTGAAAATATTCATCATTGGTCCCCAGCTCTCATTACATTACGCCCCATAAAGATAAGTAGGTAAATAAGCCCGTATTGAAGTGTGCCCGAAACCCGTCCAGACAATAAAACGTCACATTCCAGGGACACCGGCCCTGGAGCTAACGCATCACATTGAGCACTGCGGGCCTTCCGTGTCTCTGCCTCCAGCGAACAGAGCATTCACCGACTGATCTGACACGGGCAATTACTGACACGGGCTCGGGTATCACATTGGCACTTGGTCCCGGAGTAAGAAGTCATGACGATCATTTGTACGCGCAGCGTATGCGCCGTTTGTACGGTTAACAGCAGCCACTTACTGATATTTCGATGTACCCATTACATCATCCGATCGATCAAATCCATCACCGGGGAACTAACGGTCACAGTTCGCTGCTGGTCCACAGTACCCCCGGGAAGTTGGAGCCTCTACATATAACCGCCCCTCGACAGATCACCGAGCGAGGCGCGTCCCGGACCGGACCGAACTGGAGCTGGGACAGGGCGGGCGGAACGGTCGGCCAGCAGACTGACGGGGACTCGCGGCATGGCTCCAGCGTCGGCGGGCCGCGCGGGACAGACAGACATTAGTGTGCGACAGGTGACCCAAGCACGATCTCATCGTCAGCAGTCGCTTCATTTTCTTCGTGTCATCGACGGTGCCTGCGTGTCGCTGCCACTGCCATGCACCAGTCGCCGTCAGCTCTGGATATCATCTCCAGTGCATCCACTGCCCTGTCCAGTCTCCTGTTCTCTCGGCGTCCTGTTACTATCCAGTGTTCAGTGCCTGCTGCCCTGTCCTACCCTCGCTCACGGTGCCGATGGGGGGTCTAGTCGTCCTCATCGCCCGACTGCATGCAGAAGGCGCCCGGGTAGTACCTCGGACGGCAGGCGGCCGGCGGCTCCGCCACGCCACCAGAGTCGGCCGTGTACCCGTACCGGTTGTGCTCTGAAAACACACACACAGAGATGTCAGTTGAAACGACAAACTGCCGAGTTGGGAGGAGCTACACAACATTTTACATTATATAACTATTCTATTTGTTATCTCTATTTAAAGGTAGTGTGCCAGCTTTCTTGGACCGTATGGAGTTAATGGCCCAGATAAGGAGAACCGGATTTTTAGAACTTTTCCATACCTTCAAAACTCATGGAAACGTCTTAAATTCTTCAAATTTTGAGTACCCCAGTGCGAAATTCGCCCCGACGGGTTGTCGGTCGTACCCCAACCACATTTCACACCACTATGAACAATAAATGCACACACTGAAATCGCTATTACCGATATGCTCATCCAATCAAGTTTCGATAAACCCGTTCATCATCATCTCCTGCGGTTTCGAACACGCCTGTTAGGCGGCTTCTGATGCTCGTCGGGGTCGGAATTTCCAAATACGCGTGGTGCGTCGGGCCGCGCGCTCTGACTTCGGCCAAGAAAAATGCGTCAGCTGATCATTGTCATTTCTGCCACTTGCGTGTGGTGAAATGGGGTCATAACTTAAGAGACTGCTGTTTTATATCAATATTTTACATAAAATCATATTTCAAACCATAAATTAATGTTCGACAGCCAAATAAAAGAAACAATACCAATACGGGCTTACAGTTTAAGGCTCGACATTGTGTTGTCTACGATTAGACAGCTGATAACTCATTCCCGTACGTCGTATGGTCGTAACACTATAATGACCTTTGCTTATTGTCACAAGTGCGCCGCATTCGCGATTGTTGCCCGACGCCTGTTTGCAGGTGAGCCCACTACAGTTGTTATACATATCTAAAAACCGATAAACTTTTAGGCGAAAAAGGCACTATTCCAGGCCCATTTTTGATTTTTTTTTGCGATATTAGGTAAAAACAGAAGCTTCTTATCCTAGGAAAAATAAAATGGGAAATCTTTCAAAGGTGGCACACTACCTTTAATCGGCCAACGAAGTTCTATGAACAGAACAAGAAACCTCTATAAGCGTGCCTTGTAATCTCCCTTCAGGGTGCCCCGAACCCAAAGGTCCTTGGAGTTCGAAGAAGCTACGAGGTTACAACACGGTTACGCCAATGAAAGTAGCGGTTATGGCCATATGGGTTTATCCAAACGCCCATCAGGCATTTCTCCGCTCGCGTTCCATCTGTTTTACCAGACTGTCGGCCGTCTCTGGTAAAACGTTTTCGGATCAATTACACCTCTGGGTCCCAGCGCGATACGGAACCCTCTCTGGCGTCGGACCGCCGGCAGACACAATACATAATACATCGCGCGGCGAGCCCTGTCTGATCGTAACGTTCGTCCGCCCGTCCGGCTCCTGATGGCCCGAGGAGGCCGGCGCGACGGGAAGTGGGCCGGCCACGGCGCTCTGCCGCTCAGCGACCCGGCCGCGCCCCACGTGTCACCGGCATAGGGGGCCACGGCGGCCCGCGGCCCGGTCACGTGCCCCTCTGCCAGCGCGCCGATTCGCCCGGCAACAGGCGCATGCCGGCCGCGGCAGGCGGCGACTGACACATTGACCTGTCACCGGAGCTCCGCAGAGCGCTCAATCAGCCGGCTGCACCTTTGGGGGCCGGCCGGAGAGAGGCACAGGGCCGGCCGGCAGCGTCACAGGGCCGGCGAGCGTCACAGAGCCGGCGAGAGGCGCAGGTCCGGCGACCGTCACAGGGCCAGCCGGCAGCGTCACAGGGCCGGCGAGAGGCGCAGGGCCAGCCGGCAGCGCCACAGGGCCGCCGGTGCCTGGAGCGGCGCGCTGCCCTCCCCGGACGCCCCGATACCGTCAGCCGCCCTGCCGGCCGTCACCGCGTGGGTACGACACAGGGTCATCGTCTCCATAATCCATACTCGCCGCCGTACAGTGCACGTCGGCATACCGCCCGCCCGATGATATAGTACGGCCCGCGATCAGCGGTTAAATTCACATGAGACGCCAGCAACGGCCGCCACTGACGTGAAACCGGCCGGACAGCAATGTAAATCGCTGGAGCTGGAATGGGGCCGATATTATTGTTCCTTGTACATATAAACATGCGCAAGAAAAAAGAGATCTTCAAAAAATGAGCGACAAGAGCAAACCTCGCATGGCAACAAAAACCAGTTTACCGCTAGGCAGTATCAGCGACGCTCTTGGAACCTATTTTTACCGCACTTTCCTTATTCTCACACTGGTTAGAATGACTAGGCATATTTTTTTGTGTGAATTCAAACTAGTCGTATCAATCATTTACCACCTAAGCCCGTATCCCGTCTCCCATCTCCGCAGGTTTCCTAGCTAAGAGTTCCCGGACGCTCACACAGGGCGTCACGAGGTACTATTGAGCGCAGAATCCGCGCTCATACCGGGACCGAAGCGGGACAGGTCTGGTGTATCAGAGAGTGTACCGATAGTGCGCTGCGGAACAGTATCCCATCCAGGCGGCTGCTGTCTGGTGAACTTGGGTCAGCCGCCGCACGGAAGGCAGCCGCCCCGGCCTCCCTCCCCCCCCCCCGAGTGGGGGAGGGAGGCCGGGGAAGGGGAGCGATTCATGCAGTCGCAGCCCGCGCGGAGTTAGTGCGGCAGTGTGTACTGTGTATATTGGGATTATTTCTCCAGCAAAGTTTTGGGTTTGCTTGAAGTCCACTGATCACGGTGGCTGTTTGCGGGGAGCGGGCCCGGGCGGTGTCAGCAGATAGCTGTTCCCCTACACAGGCAGGCCACAGACATGGTGAAACGGTGTATTATATGGCCGACCAGCCGGGGAAAGACCCCTTTCTGTAGGAATGCGATTAAAGAGGCTTCTCTGTTTTAAGGTGTGCCGTTACGTAGTTTCGGATCGTCCTTAAATTCTTCGCCCTCTTTGCTCTCACCGCAACGTTTTATAGAAAAACTCCTGATGTTTTTGGCCTTGCTCCTTGCTCTTAACCTTGCTCTTCCAGACCATGAGCACACTTTTTATTAACTATAAATGGAAGTTTGCCATGTTTCTCAAAAATGCTCATCTCACCTTAATAAAAATTCCGTTCCTATCAAATAAGTACCGGAAGCACAAATCTCACCGGAAGTCTGAGCCGAACTATAAGCGAAAATGCCACAACTTCCCTATGGCCACCGCCATTCTGTCTGAACTAGACTTTTTGTTTCTCCGAACTATATGGTAACATAACATCAATGTGACATAACAATTCACATTTATTGGGCATGCGTCACGAATGCGTGCCCCTCGGTATTACCGTTATGAAAGTTGCCCGAATCGGCGCTTAAGAGCTTTGCAATTTAAAAATTCAACCCTCGCCCGTGGACGGCATTTCGCCATCCTTTCCAGTGGAGGGGGGGGGGGGGGTACGACCCCTTCTGCCGTTTCGAAACGCGTCGTCGTAGAGCTTAGCGGAAAAACAGCGTATTGCTCTCGACGAGAGCTCGCGATTGCGCATATTACTTTTGACCATAGGTCAATATTTGACCTAAGTTTGGCAGGTTAAAGATCAAAGTTCGGGAAAATCGGCATTTTTAACTTTGCGCGCCTGTAGCGTCGCCGCTATGGCAGATATCGTCATGGAATTTTCACCATCGTATTTCTGGATGAATTTGGTGCATTTTGGTGCATAGTTTGTCACATTTTACGCGATAACTTCCGGGGCAGAGCGCCCGGAAGCCGCGGGGTCGCGTTCGCGCCCCGGGTGGTCGAAAATGCCGTCTGACATTTAGGGTCGGAAATGTGATCTAACCTGTCGGCGACTTCTCCTTGACCCTGAGACGCTCAATAGACCAAGTGCCCGAGCTTTATTTGGCCATCAGATTCGAATTCAGGGCCAAAAATTACCGCCGGAAAGTCAAAATTCAAGAGGTCACCAGAGGTCACTGACCTGAACTAGACCTGACCTGACCTTGACCCTACATAGGTCAATGGAGGGTGTGTCAGTGCCATGTTGACCCAAACAAGGCCAAAGTGTGACCGATATCATCGTTAAAAGCACGAAAAACTACGATTTCGTGCAAAATCGGCCTGACCTTGTTACCTTTGTGACGTCATAGCTATATTACCTGACCTGACCCGGTCATTTTTTCGCCAAAAGTTGCGCAAAGGATGGTCCATAAGGTAGCCGGAAAGCTGGCGGCACGTGCCGCTTTTTTTCGCTATTCGTGAAAAAACCTCAGGAGGGTGCGGCCCTTTCCACGGGCGACAATTAAAATAAATATCACATAGTGCACTAATCTTCCTTTTCATCTTTTGCACAACCGTTTTAGGAATCCTCAATGCAAAAGATGTCGAAGCCGGAACCGTATTCGGTCGGAGTGAACAGTTTTATTAGAAGTCGGAGTCATTCAAAATTTGTCGAAGCCCTGGGTGCTGATAAAACTCTCGCTGTCAATGAATTAGAGTTGACTAATTCATTGTTAGAGGAAATGACTGCAATAGAGGAATGACTGCATGCTAGTAGCACCTACGTCTAAAAACGAAGCTTTACAGTTTTTCAAATAATAAAACAAGACATGCCAGGAGTGTCAGCTATATATTTGTTCAAGTGAAGTCCTGGGGTTTGTCGCATAGAAGGTTGAGTAATCAAGTCTATTCTCACTGCATATAATCCAGCGATGCTATACCGGGTGGCCCAGAAAAAAACGTTCCGAACTTTGGAGGCCTATACATAGGGGAGAGTGGGGCAATGGCGACACCATAAGCATCTTGCTCTGTAGCTTAGCTATTTGAAGCTATTTTATGGTGATTTTGACTGTGGTTATAGCCAAAGGAATAGGCTTTCAGATAACACCCAGTTTTAGTATCTCAGATCACTGATGACAGATTCAGAGCCTACGCGAAAATGTGGTGAAAAATGGAGGTGCAAAAAAGCGAGGGGTAATGCCGGCCACTAAGTGCAATAGCACAAAAAGTCGAAATATCGTCACTGGTATTCATCCTCAAACCGTTCTTTCGATGGAAATTTAAGTGAAAATTAAGAAACGACGACTGTATTCAGCAGTTAACAGT